ATAGGTCTTGTTTATGGGTCTGGGTGCCCTGACTCTTGGTACGAGTCAAATCCTCCAGCTAAGGTAGTCCTGACCTAGTCTGGCTCTGATCTGGAGATGGATCCCAGGTGTAGCACTACACTGCCCACTTCTCCTGACATGTTTTGGCAACATTGATGCGGGCGGGAGAGAGATGCTTTATTGATCTTGAGGGAAAGTTGCTGTTGCTGCAGCATTTACACTACATGTCTCAGTGTCCTTTGTGTCTCAGTCAGTGGTCTCAGGTCACTTTAACAGGACGACTGGTCAGGGAGGGTCAGCAAATCTGGTGGAAGAGTGTCCCTCCTCTGTGTCCTGCAGCATCATGGTAGTGTCCAGGGTGAACCAAGTGAATACAACAGGAAAGGGCTTGTTCTCAATGAAACGGTCCATTCCCTCAAAGTGTTTCCTCTGGAAGATCTTCTGCTACATTTGCTGCCACATATGGAGTAAAAACCTGTATCAAATCAAATGTCCATTAGTCTTATATCGCGCTTTTCCACATGTTCAAAGTCACTTTACAATTTGGTGCATTATTCATTCGCTCCATAGCCGGTGGTGGTAAGCTACAATTGTAGACACAGCTGCCCTGGGGCAGACTGACAAAAGTGAGGCTGCTGGTCTGTGCTATTGGAACCTCCCACCACCACTTTCATAGGTAATGTGGGTGGAGTGTATTGCACAAGGACACAACAACAGTTTTTGCCACTGGCACCCTCCCTGTCGCACCTGATTTCCCCAGTGTCTCCCATCCAAGTACTGAGCAGGCCCAGCCCTGCTGAGCTTCTGAGACCTAAAGGAGGTTTGTCTCCTTCACAAGCTTCTTGCGAGGTGTCCATGAATACAAAACGAAACAAACAGCTGTTGTAATGAACAATGAAAATGACAATGAAAGTCAAAAACAGGATTTATTGATTACTAAAATGAGATGCAGGTTGCTGGGAGCTGGATCGGAGGCTGGGGTGAATTCCAGTGCTGGGTAGTCCAAAAACCAGGTCTGAGGAAAACAGGAAAAAGACAAACTAAGTACTAGGAAACTGGCAAAAATGTAAAAAACAAAAAAACACACAACTGGAGCCAGTAGTTTGTACCACAGAGGATAAACTGTTGACCTGGCGAGGTGTGGATGCTTGAGCTGGTCTTTAATACTGCAGAGGCTGGTTGGAGAATGAGCTGCAGATGAGTAGTGGGTGGAACCAAAGGCAAGGGTGGTGCCAGATTCTCCGCCCAGCTCCAGACACACAAGACACAGAGGGGAGCTCTTTTCACAAAATCCAACAGTCCCTCACTTATGTCCTTTGAAGTGAACATGCTGTACTTCTTACAATAAAGTGTACCTTAAATTATTTATATATTTTATAACATAATATTTGTTTTAGTTTGGCCGTGCTGATAGGCCCTTGCCCTCTGGACATGAGAGCCGACACAGCTCAGACCACCAGACCAAATTGAAAAGTGCCTGCATCACCAATCACCAAGACAATGCCCACCACACAGCCTCTGTCCAGGGGAGAGCTACAGGAGACACAGGGTATATCAGCTCCAGGATCAGCCCCCTCACACCAGTGTTGCCAAGTCTGCTTCTTTATAGCACTATAGGGCTTCTATTTTTTAGAAAGTCATTTTCAAATTTTAAGATTATTATTATAATTTTTTTTTATGTTTTTTTTTTTTTTTTTTTTTTAGCTTGTTTGAGCGGCACTTACATAAACTACATGTTTTTTTGCTTTATTTATTTCATTCATATGTTAATGCGACTGAACTGTAAGTGTGCCAGTGCATCTCATTCAGCGGAGACCAGAGTCCTGCATGGGTGTGTTTTTGGAGACCCGCACCCGCCCACATCCGCGGAGTACCCACCCGTAAACCCATGATTTTATCAAAGTTAAACCCGCACCCGCTCGGACCTGTTAACATTCCACCTGTTACCCGCCCGCGCCCGTGATAAAACATAGACTGAAGCATCCATCAGAATATGAAGTGAAAAGTTACGACTTCAAGAATTACAATCACAAAATGAAATGAAATGATTGCGATTTCTTCTGTACGAATACAAATTCACAGACGCGACTCGACTGTCATCACTTCACAGGCTTTATTTACTGAACAGAAGAAATACTGATTGAGATGCCGGATTTTTATGCCACACACACCACGCACTGAACTAAAACTAAACCAGGACTGACCCAGGACTAACCCAGGACTGAACCAGGACTGACCCAGGACTGACCCAGGACTGATTCCAAGACAAAACCAGGAGGACTAAACCAGGACTGAACTAGGACTAAAACAGGACTAAAGCAGGACTAAACCAGAACTGAACCAGGACTTACTGTAGGGACTGACTCACAGGTGCGCCCACGTAGACTGTCGGGTGACCGCAGGTGAAAGGACTGGAGCAGATCTCCGTGCACAGGGAGGTAAGTGCTGCCTTCGCCCGATCACGCTTTCTCTCTCTCGCTTGGGGTTCTCTCTCTCTTAAGTCCAAGATTAGTCCTGGTTTAGTCCTGACCCGCCCGTGTGTAATCACTACTCACCTACATACCTGCCCTTAAAATTCCAGAACGTTAAAACCCGTCCGTTTCAGCAATTGTACCTGCGGGTACCTGACTCTGGCAGAGACTCTGGGTTTCGTACACATGTTTTGCTCTATGTAAATCTGGCAACCCAGTTAATACTTATCCCACAGATAGCCCACAGATTATACTTATCAGATATCTTAGCCCACATTATTAAAGGTATAATTAGGGGTGTCAAATTATCGCGTTAATTGCGATTAATTAATTACAGTCATATTTAGCGCGTTATGTTTTTTAATCGCGTTAATCTCATTTTTAATCTCTAAATTTACTGTTTCTGTATGCGAGTTGCTTTATTATTAAACCAATTTTTATGTGTTGTTGGGACAACAACACACACACACACACACAAAAACACATTTATACATTTTTTTATTTCGGTAATTCCACTCATTGTCGGAAACCCACACAAAACGCGCGCAGTAAGAGCGATGTAAACGTCCAGTAACCAGTAGAACAGAGGCAGCAGTGCACAGGTAAAACGCATTCGTGTCTTGGAAATTATTCTCCCGACGTGAAATATAAAAGAAAATAACAAATATACGCCTACAACTTAAATGTCACTGGTGAAAACAACCTGCATAGACTCATGATGTCTGCATCATCTGTCCTATAGTGACCTGCTACATGAGAGGACACACACACAAACACACACAAACACACACCTTCATCATTGTCATTAACCTGAGAACGCGCGGACCACGTTTCCTTCCGTAGACACTGCGTGGACACCGACGTGCTGCCGTGAGTCGCGTGTGAACCGTGTTTTCTCACTACGCTGCGTAAACCGCGCTTCCTCCTGTGCGTCTCTAAACCAGAACTAACACCAAGACTAAAACCAGGACTAATCCAGTCGAGGACTAAACCAGGACTAAACCAGGACTAAAACCAGAACTAAAACCAGAACTAAAACCAGGTCTAAACCAGGACTAACACCAAGACTAAAACCAGAACTAAAACCAGGACTAAACCAGAACTAAAACCAGGACTAAACCAGAACTAACACCAAGACTAAAACCAGAACTAAAACCAGGACTAAACCAGAACTAAAACCAGAACTAAAACCAGAACTAAAACCAGAACTAAAACCAGGTCTAAACCAGGACTAACACCAAGACTAAAACCAGGACTAATCCAGTCCAGGACTAAACCAGGACTAAAACCAGAACTAAAACCAGGACTAAACCAGAACTAACACCAAGACTAAAACCAGGACTAAACCAGTCCAGGACTAAACCAGGACTAAACCAGGACTAAAACCAGAACTAAAACCAGGTCTAAACCAGGACTAAACCAGAACTAAACCAGGACTAAACCAGGTCTAAACCAGGTCTAAACCAGGACTAAACCAGAACTAAAACCAGAACTAAAACCAGGACTAAACCAGGACTAAACCAGGTCCAAACCAGGACTAAACCAGAACTAAACCAGGACTAAACCAGGTCTAAACCAGGACTAAACCAGAACTAACACCAGGACTAAACCAGGTCTAAATCAGGACTAAAACCAGTGATTTCATATATAAAGCATTTCTCTATCAATAATATTTTTAATATGGTTAAGGAAAAACTGGACTTTTTATTGTCTTTAAGTAGACAAAAGTTATTATGTTCAGATTTCCTCGTCTTTGCTACTTTACAGCAAACAGTTTCTTATTCATGGAGACTTGGGCTCAACAGCCAATTTGGAGAGATTTGTTAAACAATAAATGACTTTATAAAGTCACTTTTTTTTTTCTGTGTATCAGTCTTTTGATCTGCCCCAATAATGTAATAATGAATTTAAATGAAAATACCTCAAATTGAAGGCTTTTCTCAGCAATTTTTAGGTGAGATTAAAATGAGATTAATTAGATTAATTAATTACAGATCATAATTGATTAATCTCTCAATTTTTTTAATCGCATGACAGCACTAGGTATAATATGTCCTACAACAGAACAGTCTCACGGTGTCCTGAGGGTTCATGTGTCTGTGCTCTCTCCTGTACTGATGTAAATAAACTTCTGTGTTATTCCAGCTTGTGTTTTTATAACTTTCAGGCTGCTACAATTTATTCTACAACACTGGTGTCATAGCAGAATTGTCATTTTATTGGCCTAACTGAGTTTTCAGTCCTGTTCTCCTCTCCAAACTCTGCTGCATCTGTAGATGTCACTGGCTATTTTTTTTTTTTTTTACAACCAAAAAACACAAACTACCCCAGCCATTTTATTGGCATAAAAGGTTTATTTTATTCCTGAAAACCTTTGGCAGTTATGCTAAAATAGTGATATTTTAATAAACAGTGTAACTCGAGATTCTCTTCAGCTGAATTGCGCAAGCCTGTTTAAACAGTAAGGGGGCGGGGTCAAAGGTCCTGTTTACGGCTCTTGAGGGGGCTGGGGTGCTGGAGGCGCTGGGAGGTCTCAGTCTGTTCAGTGTATATAAAAGCCCCAGGCCCAGGAGCTCCTCTCACTCTGCCTCTGTCCACCATGAAGCCCTGTGTTCTGTTGTTGCTGGTGTTTTTGGGCTCCTCCTGGGGGGCCCCCGTGGAGCAGGAGGGCCCCGAGCAGGCGTCCTGTACTGACCCCGTGGTGCTGGGAGCTGCCAGACAGGCCATGGACAAAATCAACAAGGACCGAAAGGAGGGATATGTGTACAGCCTGCGCGACCTAGCCAACGCCCACATCCAGAAACATGTAAGAATCACCCATTCACTTCTTCTATAAATGAGTGCAGATAATATCATTTACATGCAATCTAAGTTGCCCATGGTCATTAAAGAAATCATCCTTTGTTAAAAGGTATTGTGGAGTGACAAACACCACTGTAACTGAATTGATGCTACATACACTACTGGACAAAAGTTTTAGAACACCCTATTTTTTCCATTTATTTATTACAATTCAAGTTGTGCAAGTCCAGTGAAGAGCTTGAAATGGTACAAAGGTAAAAACTGAACAGACAGAGGTTAAAAAAGATAAAAGATACAAAACACAAGTCCAAGCTCTGCCAAAACAAACTCAGGAAAAAAGAACATAATGGTGAGTTTGAAAACCTGGAGTGTCCAGTAGCACATGTCCAGACTTAAACTCCATGGAGCTGGTTTGGGATGAACTGGACAGAAGAGTGAAGCAACCTACAAGTGCCACACATTTATGGAAACTGCAACAGACTTGGGAAGAACTTTCTGAACAATATTTTCTATTGTAAAAAAGAACGAGCCGCGAGTGTGTTCAGCTGTTCTATCTGCCAAAGGTGGACACACACATCAATCAAAAGTTTAGAATAAGTTTTGGTCAACAGTAAACAGTAAAAACTGGAAAAAATGCGGTGTTCTAAAACCTTTGACTGGTAGTGTAGATAAGTTTAATGCCATTCCACGCAAAGTAGTAACTTCTCCAGGGAAACAAGCAAATACTGGATCTGCCATCAGAAAAGTTACATAGTAGTACTTTCATTAAATAATTTGGACAACTACTACTTAAGTAGTACTATCTCCAAGTAACTTGTAGGTTACACTTACTTGAGTAAAACTGACTTGTACTATTCTTAAATTCACATGTGGCCACTGTGCTTATCTCTGCCCACAGTCATTATAGAGTAATATACTTCAAATCACTAATTTTTTACTGTAATGTAAAATATGAAAAACAGAATTAAAGTTTGTGACAATTAGCATGCTAGCAGCACACTTCCTGATTCTTGGACAATTAAATGCTTTATAATGAGAATAGAAATGCAGATGCTTCTTTTGACCTGTCATCATATCTGATCTGAGCTTAGAAACACCACATACATGTCAAAATCAGGTTCAGGCCTTTAAATAAAAACATGTATTGACATGTTGACTAAAGTCTGTTTTGACATGTAGGATTCATTTATATAGTGGTATTGTCTTTATTGTAAAAAACTGTGTTTGTTTTATCACTCTGTGGGGACTGAAGACAAAATCAGATCCTCACAAGGTAAATACTTCAATGTTGCATGGTTTAAAGATAAAATATGGGTTATTTGGGTTAATTTAGTTAGTAGGTTAGTATCAGTGTGAAGGAAATGAATGCAAGTCAATGTACTGTCCCCCAAAGTCTGGAAGCCTACTGTGTGTGTGCTGCAGGGGGAGAACAGCATTTTGTTCTATCTGACCATGAACGTCCTGGAGACCAACTGCAGCGTCCTCAGTAAAGCTGACTATAAGGACTGTGAAGTACGAGACATCGCCTCAACTCCGGTGAGTGCCAGGCAAATCAACTCTCCATTTTACACTTCCAGGGCAGAATGGGATCAACTAAAATTTTGGGGAACTTGGCAGAATCTTTTTTTATCAATAGCCAGGGGTGTAGTGGGGACACGCCGTCACCCACTTCTCCCGGCGTGAGGTATAAAAAATAACAAATATAAAATAGCTACAATTTAAATGTCAATCTGAAGCTATTAGCAATGGTGAAAACAAACTGCACAGGCTCATGAAATCTGCAGGACTGTCCTATAGTGACCTGAGGACTGAACCAGGACTAAACCAGAGCTGAACCAGAAGTAAACCAGGACTGAACCGGGACTGGGTGTCGGGATGGGCCTGGAGGTGCACCTATGTAGACAGGTTGGGTGACCGCGGGCGAACGGACCGGCGCAGCGCTCCGCACCCCACTGGGCTAAGTGCAGCCATCGCCCAGTCGCACTTTGTGGACACCCTGCTCCGTGGGCTGTCTTGCTAATCTAAGATTAGTCCTGGTTTAGTCCTGGTTCAGTTCTAGTTTAGTCCTAGTTTAGACTTGGATTAGTCCTGGTTCAGTCCTGGTTTAGTCCTGGTTTAGTCCTGGTTTAGTCCTGGTTCAGTCCTGGTTCAGTCCTGGTTTAGTCCTGGTTCAGTCCTGGTTTAGTCCTGGTTTAGTCCTGGTTCATGTGTTGTAGCCTATGTTTTCTGTTCTATAGGTTATTATAAATCACATTAATGTTAATAAAATGATTCCCCATCAATTTGAGTAAAAAAAAACAAACATCAAATATTACTGATTTTTACTGGGCTGCCGCTTTATGTTTGTACTGTGAGTTTTTTTGTTTTTTTTTGGTAGGTAGGTGGGCGGGATTCATCCCATTGATGATTTCATGAATCACGTACCCCCACTTAAAAATCCCCACTACACCACAGTCAATAGAGCTAAAATAGCTTTATATAAAACTGTGTCTGATTCTGCCAGTGGACGGTCATCATAGGCCGTGTCCCCTCAGACTCTGGTTCACTGAGCACTGTGTGTTGTTGTGCAGGTCTATGGACAGTGCAAAGTGGCCATGTTCATCAGCAGAGTGCACCGAGTGGTGAGGCTGTACAAGTACAACTGTGTGGTCAGACCAGGTAAACAACACTTTTGAAATCTTTTTTATATTGATTTGTTTGGGACAGTGTATGCTCCTGGACAGACATGATACAACATGAACATTCCAGGCTCATTTCCATCCGTTGTCCCAAGAGGCTGGGGTCACAAAAGGGCCAAACACTAAAACAAATCCATGTCATGTACACAAGAAGAGAGACTGACGTTATTGCACACCTCCTCCTCTTATTGCACACTCCTCTCAGAGCAAACAGCCCAAATGATTATGTATAATGTGAATTCTGTCTGTGTATGTATGTTCAGGCTTCAGTATTTAAACGCAGTGAGAATTATGCACTGATCATAAACTGTATAAATAAATGGACATAGCTAACACATTAGCCATTGTGTTCCAAATAGGAAGTCCTCATGCAGCGCTTCCATCTCCCTTTGATTTACACTGGAATACCCTCTGGTCCCTGGTCTCTCCTTTGGTCCCTCTCTCTTTAACTGCAGTGTGAGCCGTGTCATTTTGGTCTTAAAATGTTCATATTAACCCACTCTACATGATCCTGTTTTTTGTTTTTTTTTGTTTTTTCGCTATTTTGTGTCCATAAAGAAAAAATTTATTCATAATCTAGAGCAGGGGTGTCAAACTCATTTTGGGGCCATATCCAACCTACTTTGATCCCCAAGGGGCCGGATCAGAAAACTCATGTCATATAAACCCCAAAAATAACAATAAGTTCAAATATTTGTGCAGAGAAACACAAATCTATTACAGAAATCTATTTTTAATTGATGAATTCTTTCTTTTACAAAATATTATAATATTATGAACAATCTGAAACTTTAAGAAAAATGTAATTTCAACACAGTGTTTTAACATTAAATTGTATGTAAATAGGAATAAGTCAATTTTTTGGGGGGAAAATCCTGCACTCGGCTCCACTTTTTTCATGTTGGACATTTTTCTGATGAGGGTGTCACGGTCAACAGTCAAAACGATCGTCCTTTAAGAGCGTTTGGAAAGAGACAAGTCTTCATTTGTGCTGCTCTGTTGGGAGGGGCCACGTACAGAGACGCTGGAGACGCTGCTGTGATAAACACCGCAGAAAATACAATATTTTAAAAGAAAATATAATTAAAATATTTTAGTAGAAAATCAGCAGAGGGCCACATTAAAGGTCTTGGAGGGCCAGATCTGGCCCCCGGGCTTTATGTTTGACACCTGTGATCTAGAGCCTGGGCCCTCTAACCGTGAGCATCGCGAGCTTCATTTAAGCAGCACTGAACACGTGGGTGACATCACACTCACTTAGTCCACTTTTACACTTTACATTCTATGGCACTGATGCATTGTGAGCGTATTGTGTGTGTGTTGCATTTGTGTTATTTCATTTTCTTTCATTATAAGACATGTTTTGTGTGTTTAGTGTCTGCAGAGAAAGTGCATGAGATTTGCCCTGACTGTCCCTCACATATTGACAAGGACAATGAGGAAATCCAAAAGACGGTCTCTAAAAGTCTGGAGAAGTTCAACAGTGAGAGTGGACTGGCCCATCACTTCTCACTGCTGCAAGTCACAAGAGCCACCGCAGGGGTAATGCATCACAATGGAACATCAGACAATGGAACATCAGAGGAGCACAGACAGAGAGGCTCCGAATCTCCATGCATTAACAGATTAGCACCTGACAGTCATTGGAATGAGTGAGGGGGCATGCTGGGAAGCCCACCACCTACATGGGTGTCAACACACCCACTGTCTATACCATACGAGAAAACATAGTTTTTTGTTTACATCAAGCTTTTCGGCACGTGCACAGTGGCTGGTAGACAAAAAGTCAGTGGGGCCGCTTGTTTGTGTTGACAGTTGCGTTGCATATGTCTGTCATGAGAGAACTCGTCTTATTTTGAAGTAGGTTTTGCATTTTGTTTTTTTGACACAACTTCATCATCTTACTCTAAGTCACGGAACGTTGAGGATCAAAATGTTAATTTGAAAAGTTAAAACTTGGCAATAACTGTTGACGATGTTTATGTTGACAATGTTGATGTTGACTTGTTGATACGGACGCTTTTTGTCTACCAAAATGGCTGCTGCCCCGAACGTGACGTCAACGTGTTTTCTCGTATTAACAACACTCTCTGGTCTACTCTGGGCTAAGCAGCATGCTAGTTAGCTCACTGTCTCGCAAAGCTAACTTTTATTAAAACACAAAACATTAAAAAAATAACCAATTAATATTTAAACAAAGTTTAACTACAACCAACCCACGAGTTTTTATATGTAGATTACTACCATTTGTGGCGTATTTCCACTTCCATTTTTAAATGTATTTTATTTATTATTCCTCAATATTAGCATTAGAGTTAGCATTGACACAAAAACACCCATCTTTATAAACACAGAGGTGTTTGGGGGAAATATTCAACTATTCAACTATTAAAGTATTTCTCATGTTGCCAAGGACATCCACCCACCGCTCGCTCTCCACTGCCTGGTCTTAAAGTAGATCTAATTATTGATTTTATTGCCTCACTAAAACCCCCATAGAACATCATATCATTGAACAGGAAGTAGTGATGCTAACAGTGAGCTGCAGAGCACTGTTGTGCACACAGGAACAGAATGGTCAGATTCTAGAATGTGTTGAAGTCATATTCCCAGATGGGGTCAATAGAGACATTTTTCCTTATGACACTGCTTTAAAAGAATTTATTCCTACTCCTGTTTCTTTTACAGTATGGAATGGGTATGATGTACAATGCAGAGTACACCATCCAGGAGACGAGCTGTCCCAACACCGCAGACAGGCCCGCAGACTGCCCCCCTCTGGACTGTGAGTTTGCTGTAAGTAACAAGCTGGAACACAGAGAAAGTCACACTAGCTCTGCAAACCAGGGCTGTAGCTCACAAAGAAATTCTTGTCCTGCTGATTGGTTATTCTCTACTATAAAGGTGGCAGGGCAGAGGCTCGCAAAACTATTACTTAGGCAAACAAAACCAATTATTACGTGTTAGTCCAATATTACACAAAATTAACTTTTGTGAGATTTTTTGTCATGTTATTATGTTGTTACCTCCTCAGAAACAGATCTGGAGTTGTGTTTTGTGTCATTCACACGTGTAATCTTTCATTATTAATCTGTCTACATTTTCAAAGCTCAAATGCTTTATTCCACCATATGATGTCATCAAGTAGTGGTTCAAAGTTAACACCTCCTTTTACCTAGAGATCCGCAGTCACAGAGCTGAAATCATCTAAACAATTCTGGTGAACATATATGAGATTTAAAAACACAGTGGAGCACTTCCGTTGCCACATGACATCACAAGGTGGAACATCGTGTTTCTGTTTGAGAAAAGAACTCAGCCTAGATAAGCAAGATTTGTGTGTTACACAAAACACAACTCTAGATATATTTGTGACGAGAAAACAATATTATAACAAATCAGAAAATAGCAGAATATGGGCCCTTTAATCTGCCTTTTTACATAAACATATATACAGACATTATGTTTGTTGGTACCCTCTGGTAATGAAAGAAAAATCAATGGTCACTGAAATAAATTGAAACTGAAAAAAGCAATAATAAATAAAAAAAAAACAACTGAAAAATAACCAGTGAAAATCAGACACTACTTTTGAATTGTTCTTCAACAGAATTAACAAACTAATGAAACTGGCCTGGACAAAAATGATGGTTCCCCTAGAAAAGATTATAAATAACTGGACAACTGGGACATGTTAAACTTCGGTGTGTCTCTAATCTACATCACAGGTGTTTTCAAATTTGTCCTCAGTCAGTCTGTCTGTTTAAAGGGGGACATGTGTCATTGTGCTGTTTGGAGACATGATGGACACAACACTGAACATGGACCAGAGAAAGAGAAGAAGAGAACTGTGTCAGGAGACTAGAAAGAAAATGATAGACAAGCAGGTTAAAGATAAAGACAATAAGACCATCTCCAAGCAGCTTGATGTTCCTGTGATTACAGTTACACATGTTCTTCACAAGTTTAAGTTCCACAGGACTGAAGAGAACCTCCCTGGACGCGGCTGCAAGAGGAAAATTTATGACAAATTCAAGAGATGGATCATACAAATGGAAACCAAAGAAATGAAATGTGAACTTGAAGGGCAAAGTACATCAGTGTCAGATCACACCATCCATCAGTGTTTGAGCCAAAGTGGACTTCATGTGAGGACACCACTGCTGAAAACAAATCATAAAAAGTGAGACTTTGTCACAATCCAAATTGACAAGCCACAAAGTTTCTGGGAGAATGTCCTTTGGACAGATGAGACAAAACTGGAGCTCTTTGGCAAGACACATCAGCTCTATGTTCACAGACACAAAAATGAAGCAGACCAAGAAAAGAACACTGCCCCTACTGTGAAGCACAGAGGAGGTTTGGTTTTGTTCTGGGGCTGTTTTGCTGCATCTGGCACAAGGTGTCTTGAATTTGAGCAAGGTACAACAAAATCTCAAGACTATCAAGGTATTTTGGAACAAAATGTGTGGACTAGTGTCAGAAAACTTGGTCTTAGTCGTAGGTCATGGTTCTTCCAACAGGATAACGACCCAAAACACACAGCTAAAAACACACAAGAATGGTTAAGAACAAAACACTGGACAGAAAAGGTGAAATGAGCTGAAAGATGCTGTCTGGAGAAGGAACTCTTCAAACCTGAGACAACTAGAACAGTTTGCTCACATAAGTTGGTCAAAATACCAGTTGACCAGAGCAGAAGTCTCATTGACAGTTACAGAAATCATTTCATTGCAGTGATTGCCTCAAAATGTTGTGCAATAAAATATTAAGTTCAGGGTACTAACAGTTTCATTATTTTTGTTTTTTTCAAATGATTCTGTTGAACCACAGGTGAAAAGCAATGTTAGGGTTTCGTGGGATAATTTTCAGTAAATTTCAAAATGACCATAACTATTTATTTTGTCTTCAGCACAAAGGCTTCTGCAAAGGCTTTCACATGCATCATCCCAATCCCGCTGGTGAGGAGTTTCTGAGTGTGGAGTGTCACATCTATGAGCCTGAGGTAGGTCCCATGTTCCAGGTGAGAAATCCTAAGGCACTGTTTACACTACAACACTCCTCCAGACAACACAACGCTCAAATGATCTTCACGTGCAGCCCTAAAGCAGCACCATAATATATATTCCAGAATACCAGTGGCGAACCATGGACCTGGACCCTGGGCCTTCACTCGGACTAACTGCTGGCTATCATCACATCATTATTTAAAAAAACACCTAAATGAAGTGAATCGCACATTCACTTACTTCATATATTTGTTTAATAATCATTAGCTACTGTTCAACAACTAATCTGAGTCCACGGCCCGCCCTGGTCGGAGCATCTGAATTCAGATACAAAGGCGTCCAAATACAAGTGCTAATGTTGCAGTCTCGCTTATATTTGCTATCACAGGGTATTAGCAAAGGCCCAGAAGATGTCGTGTTATGATCCTGCCCATAACTCAATGAAATATGATTGGCTAAGACAACTGTCAAACTCAAACTCAACCTCACATTGACTTGAATTGCATTGGTCTTCATTCCAGCCACTGAAGGTCCTGCAGATGTTTCTTTAGTTCAGTGCTGCAGGAGGAGTCACTGATTTACCCAGATATCACTGGAAGAAAAATGTGATTGGTCCATTTCCATTCCATTATATCACAGGTGTCAAACATACGGCCCGGGGGCCAGATCCGGCCCTCTAAGACCTTTAATGTGGCCCTTGGGTGATTTTATACTAAAATATTTTAATTATATTTTCTATTAAAATATTAGTAATTTAAGTCTCATTACGTGGCCCCTCCCACCAGAGCAGCACAAATGAAGATTTGTCTCTTTCCAAACGCTCTTAAAGGACGATCGTTTTGACTGTTGACCGTGACACCCTCATCAGAAAAATGTCCAACTTGAGAAACTGAGTGCAGGATTTTCCAAGAAAAATGTACTTATTCCTGTTTGCAAACAAGTTCATGTTAAAACATTGTGTTGAAATTGTATTTTTCTTAAAGTTTCAGGTTGTTCATAATATTATAATATTATAATAAGAAAGAGTTCATCAATTAAAAAAGATTTCTGTTATAGATTTGTGTTTCTCTGCACAAATATTTGAACTTATTGTTATTTTTGGGGTTTATATGACATGAGTTTTTTTGATCCGGCCCCTTTGGGGTCAAAGTAGGTTGGATACGGCCCCCGGACCAAAATGAGTTTGACACCCCCTGCATTATATTAACCTTTTCTTTTCAATGATCTAGAAATTATTACTAGTGCAGTGTTTATTACTCACTGAATAAAAAATATTGAAAAAATATATTAGTAGTGCAAAAAAATCTTTCAGTATTTTTTCTTGGGCCTACACTGAATACATTGAAGGCCTTGACGGTTCCCCTCTGCAGAATGCGATTGATACTTTGCAATGGCATCATGGTGGGGATGTTATACAAGAACATCTATAATGGAATGTTCAGCAGTAACCATGGAGACACAATGCACACATTAACAAACACACAAACAAACACAGCTAAAAAAGAAAAAGAAAAACTAGAAAAAAAAGTGATTTAAACAACACATTTTCAGGAGCCTGTGATCAGTACAAGCGTTCATGAGCGTTCTTGAGCTTGTGACTGCAATGCGTGAGGGACTTGTTTAAGAGCGCAAATCATCTCACCTGTTGTAGTTCCAGCTAAGTCAGTTATTTCTGGTCAGATTACGTTAAATTAAAGATCAGATTAAAGTCTTAAATAACAGAGCAGTTCCTACAGTTAGCATCACAGCCACAGGGAATGTTAAACTGCTCTGCAAAGTATCAAAACTAAAATAACTCCTCACATCTCCACACAATTACCTCTGCATTATAAATCTGATGCTGTGTTTGAAGAAATGATGTCTCCTCCCAGGCATCAGAGAGGGAGAAGAAGCTGCATCTGCTCGGTGGAGAGACGGACCACAGTCATAACGACACTCACGTGCAGGAGCAGGGCCACGATCACGTGCACGACCACACCAAGGGCCACGGTCACCATGACGACACACACAAACACACAGACAGCGACCAGCACCACCACTCGCACGACCACGGCGGACACAGGTAAGGAATACTTCACCAGAGACCTTCAGCCAAATGACCCGCTCCTCCTTCACTTCCATAGACTGTATAGACACAGCTAAGCCATCATGTTCTAAACAGGGAGTGAGCATGGACGCGCTTCCTGCTGCATCGACTCTGGCTCCACCCCTGTCTCTGTACTTAATGTTGGCAGATTCATCATTTTGGTCTTAAACTGCACATAGGCTAATGGCCCTGATGGTGTGTTTCATGGTCATACTTGGTTTCTTATTTATTCATGTTCAGTGTTTTTTGGTCTTCTGTAGCTGTGAAGTCTTTTCTCTGTGTTGAAGCATGTGACCCCCTGTCCCACGGGAGACTGTAAATGATCATTTTTATCTGAAATATTTTGTCTATAAATCAAGGTACAAACATTAATAAGAGACAAATCAGGCGTCTTCTTTCCCTGAGGTCAGTCCATGGATCTATAATAAAAACTGGATAAGACTGCTCTTGTATAGGTCCTGCAGCTCCCAGGAGCTCTGGCCCTGTTAACAATTCTCCCATAGAACACAATGTACCTGACCCCTGACCTCTGACCTGACCATAGAACACTGCATTTTTTGTGAAAGTGCCCATGTTCGCAACAGTTTGGATTGACAGTGTTGCTAAGCACCTGCACCGCTAGTTTCGCTGGGAGCGTTACCTTCATTGGCACTTTGGTTGCTATAATACTTGGAGACAGAATTCCAAATATGGAACTCGGCTCCAAATTCACCCCATAACTGCCGGCCTTGATGAGCTTCATTTAGCTGGAGCTGAATGCTGTGGGTGACATCACAGTTCATTTGTTTATACACTTTATACTCACTTCTCCTGCAGGCATGCTCATGACCACTCCCATGACCACGGGCACGGCCACGATCACGTGCACGCCCACCACGACAAGGCGCACGACCACACCAAGGACCACCCCAACCAGCACCACAAGTAAGTACAACACACGCCACCAACGTGTCCACCCACCAGCACGACCACGAGATGGCGCTAGACCACGACCACAAGCACGCACGCTCACCTGCATGAGCACGAGCACCACCATCACCACCACGGCCACGTGCACGAGAGCACCCCGCACGATCACCCAGAGGGCATGTGGAGGCAGATCCCTCCCCTGGGCGCGCCCGTCACTCTGCCCGCCTTCCCCGATGTCCCAGCGGCCGGCCCCGAGGTGGGAGTCACCCTGCCCCTCAAACCTGACCCCCAGATCCCAGAACAGGTGGAGCCCACCATCGGGCCCTTCCCCACCAAAGTGTCTGCTCAGTGCCCCCCTCCCCTCCTCGCAGCCACCATTGTGGATCAATTATTTCTAGAAGATCCTGAATTTAAAGCAGCAGCATAAGTTTGAGCTGAAGTTATGGTGAATGTGTATTTTCATTTTTCTTAAAACTCCCATTAAAAGACAGTATTACAAATAATAAATGGTTTCACGTGTTACTTTTTATGAAAAAAAAAATTATTGTGTGTTTAAACTTAATTTAGCCTGGAATGTTCCATTTAGCATTTATTTATTTATTACTGGTGTTTCTATTGCTCAGAAATACCATCATTCCTTCTGTGAACAGGGGTGAATCTCCACAGATCTGAACTGTAATGTAACCTGCCTGTCTCACTCATGATAGATATGTTTAATCCATACAGTAAGAACATTAAAAAATTACATCTTACCTCCAACCGCCACTAGAAATGTTACAAGGTGCACCTTTAATACTGAGATATATTTTAAAATTAAAATCACTTGAAAAGAGCAGATTGCGCTATTGTATGTGTTTACATCAATTCAAGACATAATCAGAACATAAAGCTGAAACTTTAAAGAAGCCATATACGTGCTCACTGTATTTATGTTATTCCAGAGAAAGTGTGTTAAAAAAAAAAAAAAAAACGTTTGCGAAAGAAGGGGTTGGTGGGAGGGCATTTTGGCAGGGGTAGTTTTATGGCATAACACGGGGCCACGCAGAGACTCGGAGCGTCCGTGCGTGGAGCGTCCGGAGCGTCCGTGCGTGGAGCGTCCGTGCCTCGCTCCTGGGCTCCCGAGCTCCTGGGCTCCGGAGCTTTGGCCTGTCAGCCTGTGGGAGCGGCTCCGCGGAGGGACAGCACAAACATGGCAGCGCTCACATCGCTCACTCAGGTACTTTCCCCTCAGCCTCCCCCCGTGACCTGCTGTAGACCGCGGTTTAGACCTGGACTCTGCTTTCTCTCATCGTTTCACTGTTCGATTTGGAATAAGCATCTTAATCAAAGGCAGGACAAAGCAGATCCATGAGCCGGGCCTGCGCAGAACCGTTATCCAGCCGACTGCCCTGCGCTCTGCACGCTAGCACCGCAACCCAAGGCTCAAAATACTGCATGATTTTATTACACATATCGCTAACTTTCAGTATGCCAAATTGTGCCTGCATGTCCAAGAGCATTATGTATTTAAGAGGAATAAAAACGCACTCAGGGGTAACCGGGTGCTTAGTTCTCAGCTAACGGCGGCTAGGCTAGCTCTGTGATTGAAGAAGAGGAGATGGATAGAGCGGAGCGCAGTGAAGATGCACACGCTAGCTGCGCCAGACCAATACTGTAGTCAACCTAAAATAAAAGTCGAGGTGGAGACCTGGGTCTGAACTCGTTTGGTCCGCATTTAGACCTATGACACTGCTGCAGTTTAACTTTAGTCCTGGTTCAGACCTGAGTTCAGTTTATCTGCTCTAGTCCAGATTGAGTCTAGACCTGATTTGAACCTAACCGCTACATCATCCTGATCTGATCCTCGTTTAAATGTGGATTAGAACTACATTGTCCCGGTTTAGTTCTCGTTTAGGTCTTATCTTGTCCTGGTTTGTGCGTTATGGTCATTCATTCTGTAGCCTTTCCAAACACAGCTGACTCAAATGCTTAACGCAAAGTAAGACGCGTTTTGGTGGTTTTGCAGCCTAAAAAAAGCATGGACGAAACCATGGACACAATGGTTTGAGTATCAGTCACTGACTGTGTATAGGTCAGATGGGCACACGACTGGACGTTACTGCAGAAATACCACACACCGTATAACTGAGAAATACACGCAGAGATTACGCACAGTGGAGAGGTGGTCACGTGATGACGGTGCTTTGAGGTGGTGTCCCTCAAATGATTCCAGAGGGACACAGAATGACGTCACAGAGTTATTACTCATGAATGATGTGTAATGATATATAAATGTGTCTTAGTTACTGTGAGAAGAACCGTCATGTCCTTTTATCCACATTGTCTAATAGGGTTGTCAAAAGTTTTGAAAATCTGATACTAGATAGATAATAGATACTACTAAATCATAAGACATTTTTCACAGTACTAAAAAAGTGCCATTGACAGGACAGAAATGAACATTCCTGAATGTCTATAAAATGATGTTGAGCTGGATCAGAACATGCAGAAGAGCACATAGACCAGTACACACACATGGACCAACATGAACCTACTGCACCACTGACGATCACACACATATAAAACACATGGAATAGAAAAGAAAGTACTACCATTTAATAGGGATGTAACAATAACCAAAATATCGTGATACAGTATCGTCAAAAGTCTCACAATAATATCGTGGGCACTCACAATATATCAAATCCTTTGCTTAAATGCATGGTTTTATTGTAGTAACAGTTTATAAACATAGGGAACTACATATCCCATGATTCATTTCAGTGCAGCAACATGAAGAGATAAATTTTTTCTTCAATTCTTGGGATTATGACAGTAATAATTCACACCACGTAGGCATGAGAGGCTTGCCAGGAGTGGATAATGGCAGGAAGACCAAGATATGGGCCTGTGTATGAACAAAAGAGGGTCACAAATGCTTGATATAAGCATGCAGTGCGTTTTATAACTAATAATGAACCAGCTATGAGAGCGGACTCGAAAAGAAGTAAAAGCATGACTGCCAGTAAATCCTCACTGCCATGTGCAATAGATGGCACCTCTGGCACTGAGAACATTTTGGAACTTTGGCGTCAGCATTACAGGAGTTTATTTAACTGTATTCAGAGTGAGCCTTGTATTTTGAATGATGTTGACTATGCAGATGTAATTCTGTCACATGAAGTCCTTAAAGCTATCACCAAACTGTCAAATAATAGGTGTTTCAGCAGAGCATCTAAAGTTTGCAAGTGTGAGGTTAGCACCACTGCTTTCCATCTGCTTCACAGCTTTCCTTGTTCATGGATTTTTACCTGACTCTGTGTAAACTATGTTGCTAGTCCCTGTCATTAAAGATCAAATTGGGAAAGTTGGCAGTTCTGACAATTACAGACCTATAGCTTTGGCCAGCATAGTGTCAAAAATTTAAATAATCCTGTTGGACGCGATCTCAGAGTTTATTAAATCTACGGACAACCAGTTTGGGTTTAAGGGTCTGCTGGGCACAGATATGTGTGTGTTTGTGTGTGTTTGCTCTAAAAGAGATTATTGATAAATACAAGAGGCAGAATTCATCAGTTTGTATGTGTTTTTTAGATGCTTCCAAAGCATTTGATAGAGTGAATCACCGGAAAATATTTATGAAGTTGATTCAGAAGGGTGTGCCCAAATACATTGAGCATAATTTGATGTACTTGTTTGCACAGCAGACAATGCAGATTAAGTGGGGAAATGGTGTGTCTGCCCAATTTAGGGTCAGCAATGGGGTCAGACGGGGGGATTCTGTCCCCAGTTTTATTTAAATTGTATTTAGATGAATTGTCAACAAAGCTAAAAACATGTAAAAACTGGTTGTGTGGCTGGAAATCTTGTTGTGAATCATTTAATGTTTGCAGATGGCTTGGTTGTTTTCAGTCCAAGCACCGCTGGTCTCCAGCAGCTACTCAACTTCTGTTCTTCTTACGGTGTGGAGCACGATATAAAGTATAATGCAACTAAGAGTCTGGTCATGATCTGTAGGAGAAGATAAGCACATGAGATTTCCTGACTTCTGCCTGTCAAATGTTGTCTTGTCTGTTACAACAAAAATTTAATATCTTGGGCATATCATCACTGCAAACATGACAGATGATGATGATATGTACAGACAGATGTATGAGCTATGCTCAGACAAATCCTCTTATGCATAAGTTTGGTTCTTCTAAAAAGGATGTAAAGTTGTTATTGTTTAAATCATGTTCATAATCATACATAGTATGCTGTTGTACACAGCTCACCGCTGGATTAATTACAAAAAAGCCGGTTTGCAAAGACTGCAGGTGGCCTACAATGACGCTTTATGGGTGCTTTTGAGGAGGCCACAATGGACGGCTGCAACTGAGATGTTTGTTACTGCACGAGTGAACAACCAAGAACTTGAATGTACTCGCAATGTCACTCACAAATATGAAATTCAGTGCAATAAGATATCAGTCCAATATGTGGAGAGACTGGTGTGGTTGTCTTTTAAAAACATAAATGTTTGTTGTTTTGTAATGTCACTGTCCTTCTCTGTTTTAAAAATGGACCATGAGTCTGGATGATGATGATGACACCAAAATCTTGTCAAGGTATTTTAAAAGCAAAAAAGTGTCCCACCTACAGTTATATTAGCCTCTTCAAAATATCGCAATAAATATTGTACAGTGAGATGCTTATCGTGATAATATTGTACCGTGAGATTTGGATATTATTACATCCCTACCATTTAATGTTGAAAATCAGTTTTTTCTTATGTCGTACCTGACTTGGTATTGAGAATCTAGTCTATTCCTTACTGAAATTTGAAATTTGAGTATCATAATAACACTCACCATCATTTTGTCATTCAAAAAGTTAATAGCTAATCAAATTTAGCTTCTAAATTTCCTCACAAATCAACTATTGAATAATCACAAAAACATGAATAAACACAAAATCTAATCCAAACAATCTGGACATCCAGAGTGTTTATAATGTGCAGGATTCAGACACATGGAGATGGGCTCATAGACTAGTCCACTCAGGTCAGACTGTGGTGGACTGCTCTGAGCTCAGATATCTCCAGCCTTTTCACATAGTTCCCCAGAAGTTCTTAACCTGATGCTGATGCTCCTCTGTCCACAGCTGTCCAGTGGGAACCCCCTCTTTGAGAGCTTCTACAGACAGGTGAGTCATGTCTATAGAATACAGGCGGCGTTCAAATCATGTCTGAGTTTTAAACAACACCTATGCAAAATGACCTGGAGTTGTATTAGGGATGCATGATTTGAGAAAAGTATGCAATATTCAATAACCATCTTTTGTATTACTAATAACAACAATAGTATTGCTGCACAGATTTTGCTTCATTCACACTTGCGTCAGTAATTCATAAATCCAAAGCTGTCATCTCTGAGCCTCAAAAATACTTTGTTCCATTTTGCCTGGATTGTTGAGTCATAGATATAACTCTTCTGTTTAAACCATCACTGTCCTCATTCTGTGGTCACACTGTTCACAATGAACACATGGCTCTGTTAGCATAGCAGTCACAGAGCTGAGGACTTCAACTGTTTAGGTTCTCAGTGTTCTTTCCCACTGCCGACAGCAGAAGAAGCTCCAGAGCTTAAATGCCTCTATGGAAACAGAGATGAAGTTTATAAAGTATATTTTTCAAACCTAGACATTATTTTTTGAAGGTTAGACAATGTGAAAACTTATCTCAAGTGATCAAACACATGTTTTAAAAAGAATTAAAGCCACAACAATGCTGTTGTTTAAAACCTTTTGTGACCTACTTATTTTTAGTAATTTGTACAAAGTTCACTATAATTTGATAAGCTGATATAAATTGATGTTATGTATGATATGCAATATATACTGCCTGATAAACAAATTCCCTTAGAGATAATAAAGTGTTTATCAATCTTTCTTTTGAGTATGTTTCTCACAAAAAAATATACAAAATGCATAGTCAATAAATAATAGGTATACAATGCAAATTTAATGTTAAGTATTTTAGCACATTTCAGTAGTTTTGACCTGAGCTAACCTGAGCTGACCTGAGCTGTCTGACCTGAGCTGACCTGAGCTGTGTTTTCCAGGTGGACCCAGGGAACACGGGCAGGGTGGGGCCCACTGAAGCAGCTCTGTTTCTGAAAAAGTCTGGCCTGCCTGACACCACACTGGGAAAGGTATGTGCTGCTGTGTGAGCGCATTGTGTGAGTGATCAGATGTGAGTGTTCAGATGTGAGTGTCCAGATGTGAGTGTTCAGATGTGAGTGTTCAGATGTGAGTGTTCAGATGTGAGTGTTCAGATGTGAGTGTTCAGATGTGAGTGTTCAGATGTGAGTGTTCAGATGTGTTCAGATGTGAGTGATCAGATGTGAGTGATCAGATGTGAGTGTTCAGATGTGAGTGTTCAGATGTGTTCAGATGTGAGTGATCAGATGTGAGTGATCAGATGTGAGTGTTCAGATGTGAGTGTTCAGATGTGTTCAGATGTGAGTGATCAGATGTGAGTGATTCAGATGTGAGTGTTCAGATGTGAGTGTTCAGATGTGTTCAGATGTGATCAGATGTGAGTCAGATGTGTCAGATGTGAGATGTGATCAGATGTGAGTGTGTTCAGATGTGAGTGTTCAGATGTGATCAGTGTGAGTGTTCAGATGTGAGTGTTCAGATGTGAGTGTGAGTGTTCAGATGTGTTCAGATGTGAGTGTTCAGATGTGATCAGATGTGAGTGTTCAGATGTGTTCAGATGTGAGTGATCAGATGTGAGTGTCAGATGTGTGTCAGATGTGAGTGTTCAGATGTGTTCAGATGTGAGTGTTCAGATGTGAGTGATCAGATGTGAGTGTTCAGATGTGTTCAGATGTGAGTGATCAGATGTGAGTGATCAGATGTGAGTGTTCAGATGTGTTCAGATGTGAGTGTTCAGATGTGAGTGTTCAGATGTGTTCAGATGTGAGTGATCAGATGTGAGTGATCAGATGTGAGTGTTCAGATGTGTTCAGATGTGAGTGTTCAGATGTGAGTGTTCAGATGTGTTCAGATGTGAGTGATCAGATGTGAGTGTTCAGATGTGAGATGTGAGTGTTCAGATGTGAGTGTTCAGATGTGAGTGTTCAGATGTGAGTGTTCAGATGTGTTCAGATGTGAGTGTTCAGATGTGAGTGTTCAGATGTGTCCAGATGTGAGTCAGATGTGAGTGTTCAGATGTGAGTGATCAGATGTGAGTGTTCAGATGTGTTCAGATGTGAGTGATCAGATGTGATGTGATGTGAGTGTTCAGATGTGATGTGATGTCAGATGTGAGTGATCAGATGTGAGTGTTCAGATGTCAGATGTGTTCAGATGTGAGTGTTCAGATGTGAGTGTTCAGATGTGAGTGTTCAGATGTGTTCAGATGTGAGTATTTATGTATATAGTATTTATTTATGGCTTCTTGGATCTTTGTTTGGTCTGTTCATGCTCAGATCTGGGACTTGGCTGATCCTGATGGAAAAGGCTATCTGGACAAACAGGTATGTGATACTAAGCTCATCACAGTGTTTGATCCGAGCGCTGCCAAAATGAGATAAGATAAGATCAATTTTACAAACAGTCATAAGGCTGGAGTCTTAAACCATATATTGTTAAGTGATGATGTCACACATAGCGGTTCCAGGTCGAAGGTACATCAAACTAAAGATTAGGAAAAGAAAGGATATAAGGTAGACTTGTTATTTAACTTGCATTTACTTTTTAATTTTAAATTTATTTACAATTTTCACTCTGAAGGACTATTGGCTTAATGGAATTTATATATTTGAAATGAATGTTTCCCTTCTGCGTTTTGCTCTTGGATGTTAAAGGTCCTTCATTACACTAAATTAATTCTTGTGAGATTTAAGCCATGTTATAACCTCCTCAAAAACAGATCTGCAGCTGTGTTTTGTTTCATTCACTCATGTTTAATTAACTCTTTATTATTAGTCTGTCTATATCTCCAAAGCTGAAAATGCTCTGTTCCACCTTGTGATGTCATTAAGTGGTAGTTTTCAAGTTATCTTGATTATCTACTATCTTTTGGCTGTTATTTAGTAGAAATTTCGGGGCTTAAATCATCCGAATGATTCTAGCAAAGGTGTAAGGAGTTTAAAAACACAGTGGAGCACTTCCTGTATTAACACATGGCATCACGAGGTGGAACACAGTGTTTTCTGTTTGACAGAAGTACTCAGCCTAAATATTCAGGGTTTTGTGTTAAACATGTATGAATGAAACACAACACAACTCCAGGTGTGTTCGTGAAGAGGAAACTACATTAGAACAGATCATAAAATAACATAATATGGAGCCTTTAAACTAGAACAGTAGTACACTTGAAATTTTTATTATGCACTATTTGTAAATTGGTGACCCTTAATAATAATCTTAAAACAACAGAATAGGGTCCAGGGCACATCTGTCATTTAATTTAACACCAACAAGGTTAGAATTGTGACCATTTGTTATGTTAACATTGCCACAGACAAAACAGCTGCTAGCTCCCCTTAACCACTCAAACTACTTTTTTGTGTTATTCTTATCCCAGAGAAATCAATGACAGAAAGCATTTCCATCCTCTGTGTACTGAGTTTTGTTCTGTTTAAACAATAAAGAACTCAGCACTGTGGCGTTGTGTGGAAAACAAAGCAAAGCCAGCTGTGAAGTGGACAGCTGCTTGGACTCAGAAATACTGTGTGCAATCCATAGTTGGACTGTCTGTCCAGGGCAGTGTCCAAACAGCTTTTTATTGGTTTCTATGCTTAACTAATTGCCGTAGAAAGTACTTATAATTACACATAAAAATAAACACCTCAATAAAAATTTTTTGTGTGAAATATAGTAGACACCGGACACTTAAATCTACATACACTACTGGTCAAACATTTTAAAACCGCACTTTTTCCAGTTTTTGCTTTTTACTGTACCAAAATCTATTCTAAACTTTTGATTTATGAAAGTGTCACCTTTGGCAGATAGAATAGCTAAACACACTCGTTCTTTTTACAATAGAAATCAAATATTGTTCAGAAAGTTCTTCCTAAGTCTGTTGCAGAAGTTTCATAAATGTGTGGCACTTGTAGGTTGCTTCACTCTTCTGTCCAGTTCATCCCAGACCAGCTCCATGGAGTTTAAGTCTGGACACTGTGCTGCTGCTGGACACTCAGTGTTTTCAAGCTTATCATCTTTTTCTTTTTTCCTGAGTTTTGTATCTTTTATTTTTTTTTTAACCTCTGTCCGTTCAGTTCTTACCTTTGTACCACTTCAAGCTTTTCATTGGACTTGCACGAATTGAAATGCAATAAATAACTGGAAAAATGAGGGTGTTCTAAAAGTTTTGACTGGTAGTGTACACACTGCATAGTTTTCAATCTTAATCCTGAAGAGGTGGGTTTATGCACATTAACTTTCTGGAGCTTTCTACCATGTTATAACTTTGTTTACTCATCATGCCAACAGGTTTTAGATGTCATCCATGCATGTTTGAGAAATCTAGTGATCTCTCCCAGCCATATATAGTTAGCAGTACAAGTGTGTATAATGCTCAGCCCACAAGCCTACGTCACCCATGCTCCCACACAGCTATTTTCATAAATATACAAAAGCAGAATACAAAGTAATACACTACAGATTCACAAGCCTGATACTATGTGCAGTAGTTTCATTCGCAGACGCTGATAGTGTTGTGATAGTGCTCTGAAGGGGGAGTGACATGCGTGTGGCGCAGAGAGCATCAAAATCAAAACTGAAGTTAAACATGTTAATACATTGTTTTTGGCAAATTTAGCATTTACAAAACAATAAAAGGTAACATGCTGATCTAAATATGTGATGTGTTAGCAGCTAATACCTCATACAACTAAAATATCCCCACTTTTACTCAAGTAAAACCTCGTCGAAGTGTCATACCCCCTTGATTACACAGGGGTATTACACCATGGGATTTTAACTGCCAACACATCATATTTAGCTCACCTTGTTATTTGAATCACCAAAATCAACATATTAACATGTTGAATAAGGTTAAGTTGCATTTTCTGATGCTCTTGAGTCAGATTTGTGAAGATGTAGTGTCTTGTTTTGTATATTTATGTAGAATTGTCTGGGAGCATGGGTGATGCAGGCTTGTGGGAGGAACCTTGCACAGAATCTTACAACTAACTGCAAAGACGGTTCGAAAAGGGCCTGGGAGAGATCATGAGATTAAACATGGATGGAATCTAAAACCTCTTCGGGCATGTTTTTGGTAAGGGAACATTATAATGTAAGCTCCAAAAAGTTGATTTGAATACCCCCTCTTTAACCTGTATAATAAACAAGGCAGTGTTTGTTGTGACTTATTGTGAATTCTAGATATAGACAATTTGTAAAAGTAAATTTGTCCGGACTGTAATGACCAAGGCCTGCCAAAATCACACAACTTAGAATACTCCAGTGCATCACATTTTGGAATATCTTCAACATTTAGTTTGGTGCTAGAACACAGAGCAGAGTCTCTACAGGACGGAGGGGCTGTGGTCATTAATGGACCCCTATTCTGCTCTTTACTGAGCTACTGGATGTTTATTTTTATTTTATTTATTTATTTGAGAGAGGGACAGCGCACAATTTTTGCATTTTTACCTTAACAGGAGAGATGCATTGTACATCAGGTTGTAGCATCAGTGCTAATTTCCACCTGTAGTCCCTGGACAGATTCATTGATTGATTGTATTTAACTGACCTTGACTATCAACTGTTCTGGAGACCTGTAGCATGTTTTGGGTTGTTGTTGAGATGTTCTAATATCGTTTCCTCATCACAAACAGACCTGGAGTTGTGTTTTGTTTCATTCACGTTTAACACACAAACCCTTTTTCAAACAGAAAACACTCTGTTCCACCTCGTTATGTTATATGATAAAGCAGGAAAATATTTTTGATCTTTTAAAGGAGTTGTTAACTTGAAAACTACCACTACATGGCATCACAAGGTAGAACAGAGCATTTTGAGCTTTGGAGATGAACATCTATCCATCCTGTCTATAGCTGGATAAACATATATAGCTTTAGTTTTTGTATAGTAAACTAAAAGAAAATAAACAAATGAGAACACATTAGTACTTTTTCCTCCTGCTGTCAAAGTGGTCAAGTCCTTTGTATTTCTCAGAGTAACAGAGTACTGCCCCTCTGTCCCTTCAGGGCTTCTATGTGGCTCTGCGCCTGGTGGCCTGTGCACAGAGTGGCCAGGAGGTGGCACTGTCCAGCCTCAGCCTCACCGTTCCACCACCCAAATTTGTGAGTATGCTTTGTCCTTTAATGCACTTTTATCATATATATTATACCATTAGTTAATTAAGTAATTCAGTTTCAAAATATTCAAAAGTATTTTGTTTAACCACATTTTGCTGATTAATCTTATTAACTCATCCATTTAAAACTCAAAATTGTTGCATTTCCGATACATTTTCGGAGTGTCTCTAACTGTCTCTGAGTGTCTCTGAGTGTCTCTGGCTGTCTCTGAGTGTCTCTGGTTGTCTCTGAGTGTCTGCGGCTGTCTCTGGCTGTCTCTGAGTGTCTCTGAGTGTCTCTGGTTATCTCTGGTTGTCTCTGAGTGTCTCTGGTTGTCTCTGGTTGTCTCTGGTTGTCTCTGAGTGTCTCTGGTTGTCTCTGAGTGTCTCTGGCTGTCTCTGAGTGTCTCTGGTTGTCTCTGGTTGTCTCTGGTTGTCTCTGAGTGTCTCTGGCTGTCTCTGAGTGTCTCTGGTTGTCTCTGAGTGTCTCTGGTTGTCTCTGGTTGTCTCTGGTTGTCTCTGGTTGTCTCTGAGTGTCTCTGAGTGTCTGCGGCTGTCTCTGAGTGCTCCGTCTTTGTGTTTCTTACAGAAGGATAGCAGCAGTCCGTCTCTGGGCAGCGTGGTGCCGGGTGCTGGGGAGCAGCACTGGGCTGTCAGGGTAAGTCTAGACTCTTAGACTCTGAGATTTAGTGAATAGAAATGGGCCCATTGAATTTCCATACCTGGATGAGTAAAAAGATAACATAGAATTCATAGCATAAAATTCCACTCTAGGGAAAAGTGTATTCAAGTTGATTTTACATAATATGTCTCCTTTAAGTCCAAGTCTAAGTCACCCTTTACTGTCACCCTCACATCCTCTGTCACTGCCGACCTCTGCTGTCTCTGTGCAGAAAGTAAATATTAATATTATATATTAATATTACAAATATTAGTCATGAATCCAAAAGTGTGTGTGTGTTTCCAGGCCGAGGAGAGGAGTAAGTTTGATGGGATCTTCGAGAGCCTGGCTCCTGTGAACGGGCTCCTGTCTGGAGACAAGGTCAAACCTGTGCTCATCAACTCCAAGCTGCCTCTGGACATCCTGGGCAAGGTGGGTCACACTCATGGCTGTCAGCTGAGGACTGAGGAAGAGTAAACTAAACTGTTACTTGGTTAGCAGTATAGCTCAGGCAAAATATTATAAGTAGTCATAAAACTACTACAATATAGTAAGTAAGTAAGTATGTTTTTTTTAATTTATATAGCACTTTTCACAGAGATTTGTCACAAAGACACTTTATAGAGCATTATTCATTAACACCATACTCCAATGGTAAGCTACTTTTGTAGCCACAGCTGCCTTGGGGCAGACTGACTGAAGCATAGCTGCCGGCACCATCGGACCCTCAGACCCCCACCATCACTCACACGCACACCACTTTCATACTAGGCAATGTTGTTGCAGTGCCTAAGGACACAACAACAGTTTTATATGTCTGGTGCCCCCCTGTGGCACCTGGAATTCCCAGTGGTCTCCCATCCAAGTACTAACCAGGCCCAGCCTTACTTAGCTTCTCAGATCTGACAGGATCAGGCTTTGACAAGCCAGTATGGCCACACAAGTACAAATACTTCAAATAGTTACTCTAGTAAATGTAGCTGAATAAATGTAACTTCCCAAAAACAAATGTTCTAATCTGTTCTGTCTCAGGTGTGGGACCTCAGCGACATTGACAAAGATGGCCACTTGGACAGGGATGAGTTTGCAGTGGTAAGTGAGGCACTGTGAGTCCAAACATGTAGGAGTGTCTGGAGTTGGATCATTTCTTCATGTTTAGTCCTTGTTTGAGCTCGGTTTAGATCTGTTTTAGACAGTGGCAGACAGTGCACCTAGGCCTTCAGTAATGCTCTGCCTGAAACAATCCACTCCTCAATAACTATTGCATAAAGCATCTTATTATAAAGAGCCGTGGAGATTCTGTGCACGAAGAAGTGAGGAGAGGGGGGTGTGCGGTGCACGGAGAAGAAGTGAGGAGAGGGGGGTGTGCGGTGCACGGAGAAGAAGTGAGGAGGTTGGGTGCGCAGAGATTTCATGTGACGACCATAGTTTTGCGAGGATTCACGTGATACGGAGGGATGTAGCCAAGGTGGGGACCACTTGTTGTCAAGGCGGCCGCTTTAACTCTAAAGTGCTGCAGGAAACACTGATATCTCCAGTACCATCCTATAGTGACCTGCAACATGAGGGTCCAGGACAAAAACAGGACTAAACCAGGTCTAAACCAGAACTAAACCAGAACTAAACCAGGTCTGAGTGCGTGGACTGGCCCAGAGGTGCGCCCTCGTATACCGTCAGGTGAAAGGACGCGCGCACCTGTCGGCCGCTCGCGCTGCTCAAGTCCAAGATTAATCCGTGTAGGCCTGGTGTAGTCCTCGTGTAGGCCTGGTATAGTCCTCGTGTAGGCCTGGTGTAGTCCTCGTGTAGGCCTGGTGTAGTCCTCGTGTAGGCCTGGTGTAGTCCTCGTGTAGGCCTGGTGTAATCCTGGTTCCATTACTTACAGATGCAATTTGCCGCTTTGGTATGATTCGCTCTGTGAATGTCTAATAAACAGGTCTGAACACAGTGACATTGGCGTACGCCTGCTAGAAGGCCCTGGTGACACCAACTCAAAATCTGATTGGTTGGAGCAACAGTTTAATGGACATTTATTTTGTGTTGGAGGACCTGCAGAATGGATTCTGAAGGCCTCAGGCACACTTCTTTAAATTTGAAAATCCATGTTTGGGAGCAGCACAACCATCGGAAAAGCTCTGAAAGAAAGCGGACAGACATCCATCTGTGATTCTGATGTTTTATTTTGGCCAGCTGAGAAGGCCTTGCAGGCCTGACAGCCCACCACTGGTTTTAGATCTGTGTAGTCTGGGTAGTAATGCCTGTTTTAATGCTTGCATGTTTCCACAAACAGGAGTCCCTAAACAGGCAAAGCTTATTGTACAGTCGTTTAACATGCTGAGGTGCTCAGGCATGTTACCATAGAGATATACTCAAACAGGAAGTGATCTAGCTTCATAGTACTAGTAAACCAGGGATACCCCCAAAGTTACCTGTAGTTAATTTGAGTATTACAGGGCCAGGTTTAGTCTGCATTTGTCTTGTTTTAACCTAGGTTAAACTTTCCTGCTTTATGACCATCGTAGTCCAATGATTTGGACCTGTTTCAGGCTTAGATATACTTGTTTTGATTAAGCCTTGATTGAGTACTGCTGAAGTACTGTAAGTGTCTACACATTTCTGTTGTGAATCAGAGTTAGGTGGTTGTCCTGAGACTAGTAGAGACCTCTTACAGTCCTGCTATAGTCCTGTTTAAATCCTAGTTTAGACTCTACTAGACTTTACTCCATATTCAGCCCTGGTCTAGTACTGGTTGAGTTCTGGTTTAGTCCTGGTTTAGTCATGTTTTAGTCCAGGTTTAGTCTTGGTTTAGTCTTGTTATAATCTGTTAAATTGACATGTTTTCTGTGACCACCAGGCCATGTACCTGGTTTACCGCGCCCTGGAGAAGGAGCCTGTCCCATCAGTGCTGCCCCCCTCGCTAGTCCCTCCATCTAAGAGGAAGAAGAGCCTGGTGTCTCTATCCGGGACATTGCCAGGTGTACCTGGTGTACCCGGTGTGCCCGGTCTGCCTGCCAGCCCCCCACCCCCCAAAGACTCCCTGAGGTCCACCCCGTCCCACGGCAGCATGACCTCCCTCAACAGCACGGGCAGCCTGTCCCCCAAGCACTCTCTCAAGTCTGCTCAGGTAGAACACACTCTCTCAAGTCTGCTCAGGTAGAACACACTCTCTCAAGTCTGCTCAGGTAGAACACACTCTTCCCCAAATATTACCAGTTTACCCCTACATAAATCAGTCCTTTGTCCAACAAATTGTCTCCATCCATCCATTTTCTTCCGCTTATCCAAGGTCGGGTCGCGGGGGCAATAGTCTGAGGAGGGCCTCCCAGACTTCCCTCTCCACACACACTTCCTCCAGCTCTTCCAGGGGGATCCCGAGACGTTCCCGGGCCAGCCGAGAGACATAGTCCCTCCAGCGTGTCCTGGGTCTTCCCCATGGCCTCCTCCCAGTGGGACATGCCCAGAACACCTCCCGAGGGAGGCGTCCAGGAGTCATTCGAAACAGATGCCCAAGCCACCTCAACTGGCTCCTCTCAATGTGGAGGAGCAGCGGCTCTACTCCGAGCTCCTCCCGTGTGACTGAGCTCCTCACCCTATCTCTAAGGGAGCGCCCAGCCACCCTGCGGAGGAAACTCATTTCGACCGCTTGTATCCGCAATCTTGTCCTTTCGGTCATTACCCAGAGCTCATGACCATAGGTGAGGGTAGGAACGTAGACTGACCGGTAAATCGAGAGCTTCGCCTTTTGGCTCAGCTCTCCCTTCACCACAACGGTCCGATACAGCGACCGCATCACTGCAGACGCTGCACCGATCCGCCTGTCAATCTCACGCTCCATCCTCCCCTCACTCGTGAACAAGACCCCGAGATACTTGAACTCCTCCACTTAAGGCAAGGACTCTCCACCCACCCGGAGAGGGCAAACCACCTTTTTCTGGTCGAGGACCATGGCCTCGGATTTGGAGGAGCTGATCTTCATCCCAGCCGCTTCACACTCGGCTGCAAACCGCCCCAGTGCACATTGCAGGTCCTGGTTTGATGGAGCCATCACGACAACATCATCTGCGAACAGCAGAGATGAGATCCTGTGGTCCCCAAACCGGACCCCCTCCGACCCCTGACTGCGCCTAGAAATTCTGTCCATAAACACAATGAACAGAACCGGTGACAAAGGGCAGCCCTGGCAGAGTCCAACATGCACTGGGAACAGGTCTGACTTACTGCCGGCAATGAACACAGCTCCTGCACCTGATGGAGAGTGTAGAGCTGGTCCAGTGTTCCACGGCCAGGACGAAAACCACACTGCTCCTCCTGAATCCGAGGTTCGACTATCGGCCGGATTCTCCTCTCCAGTACCCTGGCATAGACCTTACCGGGAAGGCTGAGAAGTGTGATCCCCCTATAGTTGGAACACACCCTCCGGTCCCCCTTCTTATACAGAGTGACCACCACCCCGGTTTGCCAGTCCAGAGGTACTGTCCCCAACCGCCACGCGATGTTGAAGAGGCGTGTCAGCCAAGACAGCCCCACAACATCCAGAGACTTAAGGTACTCAGGACGGATCTCATCCAACCCCGGAGCCTTGCCACCAAGGAGCTTGCCAACCACCTCGGTGACTTCAGCCAGGGTGATGGATGAGTCCACCTCTGAGTCTCCAGCCTCTGCTTCCTCCTCGGAAGACGTGATGGTGGGATTGAGGAGATCCTCAAAGTATTCCTTCCACCGCCGGACAACGTCCCCAGTCGAGGTCAACAGCTCTCCCCCCGCACTGTAAACAGTGTTGGTGAAGAACTGCTTCCCCCTCCTGAGGCGCCGGATGGTTTGCCAGAATTTCTTTGAGGCCGTCCGATAGTCCTCCTCCATGGCCTCCCCGAACTCCTCCCAGCTCTGAGTTTTTGCCTCTGCGACCACACGGGCTGCAGCACGCTTGGCCCGCCGGTACCCGTCAGCTGCGTCAGGAGTCCCATGAGCCAACAAGGCCCGATAGGACTCCTTCTTCAGCCTGACGGCATCCCTTACTTCCGGTGTCCACCACCGGGTTCGGGGATTGCCGCCGCGACAGGCACCACAGACCTTACGCCCACAGCTCCGAGCGGCCGCATTGACAATGGAGGTGGAGAACAGAGCCCACTCGGACTGCATATCCCTCACCTCCCCCGGAATCTGTGAGAAGCCCTCCCGGAGGTGTGAGTTGAAGATCCCCCTGACAGAGGGCTCTGCCAGACGTTCCCAACAGACCCTGACAATACGCTTGGGCCTGCCAGGTCCCTCCGGCTTCCTCCTCTGCCAGCGGATCCAACTCACAACCAGGTGGTGATCAGTTGACAGCTCAGCCCCTCTCTTCACCCGAGTGTCCAAGACACGCGGCCGGAGGTCAGATGACACAACGACAAAGTCGATCATCGACCTCCGACCTAGGGTGTCCTAGTGCCACGTGCACTTATGGACACCCTTGTGCTTGATATGGACACCCTTGTGCTTGAACATGGTGTTCGTTATGGACAAACTGTGACTAGCACAGAAGTCCAATAACAAAACACCGCTCGGGTTCAGATCGGGGAGGCCGTTCCTCCCGATCACTCCTCTCCAAGTGTCACTATCGTTGCCCACGTGGGCGTTGAAGTCCCCCAGTAGAACAACGGAGTCCCCAGTTGGTGCACTGTCCAGTACCCCTCCCAGGGACTCCAAGAAGGCCGGGTACTCTACACTGCTGTTCGGCCTGTAGGCTGACACCACAGTGAGAGACCTGTCCCCGACCTGTAGGTGCAGGGACACGACCCTCTCGTTCACCGGGGTGAACTCCAACACGTGGCGGCTGAGCTGTGTGGCTATAAGCAAGCCCGCACCAGCTCGCCGCCGCTCCCCGTGGGCAACACCAGAGAAATGGAGGGTCCAACCCCCTTCAAGGAGTTGGGTACCAGAGCCCAAGCTGTGCGTAGAAGTGAGCCCGACTATATCTAGCCGGTACCTCTCAACCTCCCGCACAAGCTCGGGCTCCTTCCCCCCCAGCGAGGTGACATTCCACGTCGCCACAGCCAGATGCTGTGTGTGCGGACCAGGCCATCGGGACCCGACCGCCGCCCAGTCCTCTATGCACCCGACCCCTATGAACCCCTCTGCGGGTGGTGAGCCCACAGGAGGGTGGACCCACGTCGGCCACCAGGCGCTCGCATTCGAGCCCCAACCCCAGGCCTGGCTCCAGGGTGGAGCCCCGGCTGCGCCATACCGGGCGACGTCACGGTCCTCGATATTACACTGTTCATATGGGTTCTATGAACTGCTCTTAGTCTGCCCCGTCACCTAGGACCTGTTTGCCATGGGAGACCCTACCAGGGGCATAAAGCCCCGGGCAACATAGCTCCTAGGATCATTCGGGTACGCAAACTCCCCCACCACGGTAAAGTGGCAGTTCAAGGGGGAGGAGAAATTGTCTTATCAAAATAAAAAATTCAGAGCTCTGAGTAAAAAACTATTGTGTCTCATCTACCCGGGTAGTATTATTTTTTGTTTCTTTCTTTTGTTGTTGCACAAGATCTTAGCTTAATTCAGCTGTACTGCAATGAAGGCCAGGTCCACCATGGAGAGATGTTTAGGCATCCAAGAGGTCCTCAGGTCCTGGATCCAGTGAATCCAGCCTCACACCGAACAGTCCCAGGTCAAATCGGGACAACAAAAAAACCAACCTGCACAAGCAGGGTAACATTAATACAATTTTCATGAAGTACAAAATCAGTTCTGGTTCAAATCATTTCAAACTACTTCAAACTGGATTACAGTAGCTTGTAGGTTTTTTACACAATGCGCAGTATTCAACACGTGGCACTAGCAGTGCACATGATAGTGTAACAACCTTTCAAATCTGTTTCTTTGTATAAGTTCTGACTTGTATATTGTTATACATTTCTCCAGTTGTTTTTTTTATACATTCTCTGAATCATGTAAATAATAAATTGTCATTGCATCATGTAATTAAGTCAAGGTAAAAAACAAGATGAAGCTAACATATCACTTTAGCACACTCACCGGAGAAGAAGAACAAACAAAACCTGGACAAATCTTCCTCTCCAGAACTCTTTGCAATTTGATTTATCTCTAAGAACCAAAAACAAGTTCTTATAACCATTTAAGTAATATTTTACCACATTTTTGCACAGTATAGCTTACATGTGCTGTCCAGTTTCTTCACAAGATGGCGGTGCATTTTCAACAGAATCTACAGCATCCTCTGCTGGGCGCATATGACACCGCATAGTTAAACGAAAGTTAAAGGAACACACTCACACAATTAATAAGTAAAACTTGGGTGGGTTACACAGGTATCACACTTTAAACTTCGTCCTGGCAGCCAGGTTACAATCACAAACAGCTGGCTGTAATCCGGGCAATCCTGTGTGTTGTCATGTAGTACTTGAAGTTCCAGTGACCACTGGAGGCAGCACACTTTTGACTGTTTTTTGAGGAGGACCCACTACTAGTGAGGTAATTACAGTCAATAACAGCTGTAAGAATTTTGTACCTCGTAGAACCCTGGGGTGTTTGACTTTGCCGAATCATGACAATTTATGCTATTAATAAAACACACACAAAATGCACTTGAAAACACTAAATGAGTAGAAACAATATAACAAAAAGTAAATCCATGCATTCTTTTCTCAGCAGCCTGTGAATTGGGTGGTGCCTGTGTCAGAGCGTGGTCGCTATGACGACATCTTCCTGAAGACAGATGCAGACATGGACGGCTTTGTGAGCGGGCTGGAGGTCAAAGACATTTTCATGCAGTCAGGACTCTCCCAGAATGTCCTCGCACATATATGGTACGAAGAGACCATGGCCACTGTTCACATCACATCTTTGTAGTAAACAGTACTTATGTCAAATCTGCTGTAGGTTTTACACAGAATAAACAGGTTTAGGGTTCTAGTGCTACAACCTGGCACAGTGCAGCTCTCCTGTTAAGGTTCATGTATATTGTGCACTGTCCCTGTATCATAAATAAACCAAATTAATAAATATAAAATAAGACATTTTGTTGTTTGCTGATGAAATTTAGTAGTTTATAGCCTGATGTTACAGTCTTAACATTAAAAACAGAGATAGTTCATTTTAAACGGTTTGCAGTCGTCCAAAGTTTTTCCTCACTTACCTTATGCATTCTGAGCATCTCATGCAATGACTTATAAGCATTTTTCACAACTTTCAGAAACTAGTGTGAAGTTTTTCCATGACTGTAGAGCTAACAAAAACTAGGGTGCTAACATGCACTTCCTGATTATCCACAGGGCTTTGGCAGATACCAGGCAGATGGGGAAGCTGACCCGAGAACAGTTCTCTCGCCATGCACTTGATCCAGCAGAAAGTGAGCAAAGGCCTGGACCCTCCCCAGACTCTGAGCGCAGACATGATCCCCCCGTCGGAGAGGGGGACCCCGGTGCCTGTAAGTCCACCTCTGGTTAACGATGGTGTGGTGGTGTGGAATAGGTTTGACTCACATATCTAAATTTGTTTAACTATGAGCTGGAGATAGGTCAGAAATCAGTATAAAAATGTGGATTTAAGAATGCAGATTCTTAAAATTAATATTTCTGTCATTTTCAGGCCTTTTTATGCAAAACAAAAACAGTCACAAAGTTCAACATGTTAAATAAATAAATTATTTTTTCACTATAGCTTCATAAAGTGGGGTCAATTCCAGAATGAAATTACTTTAAACGTTGCTCTAGTCTAACTGGTATAACTACAACAACCACAAGTGAACCTGTGTTGCCAAAGCCTTAGATTAGATTAGATTTAGATTTATTGTCATTGTACAAAATACAAAGAAACTTTGACAGAGCAAATCTGTAGCAGGAAAAAGGAATAAATATAGACACATTCTCACATCCATATCAATAAAAACATTAAATAAATAAATAGATTGTAGCACTGAGTCCCTTCAGGCGTTTTATCAGTGCCTGTACTCCTGGAGCACATCCACTGCTCGTGGGTAGAAGCAAGTTTCTGTGTGTGAGGGAAGTTTGAAACCTTCCCGAGGGGAGAGCCCACCACCCTCTCAGCTGTTCTCACTGTTCGCTGTAGGTCCTTCTCTTCAGGAGCTGTGTAGGCTCCGTACCGTGATGTGCCGCAGTACATCAGAACACTTTTGATATTGCACTGAGAAAAGTTGATCAGCAGCTTCTGGGAAAGTCCATTCTGGTGTGTTCACAGAAAAAATTCTCTGCTGGGCACGCTTTACAATGCTGGCCGTGTTTAGGCTCTATGTCAGGTCCTCACTGATCTGATGAATTTGTTTGTTTTTCCTCAAGTCAATTATTATTTCTTTAGTCTTCTTAGTAAATGATCATGGCCAAAGCGCTTTACAACAAGGAACCACTCACCCATTCACACACACACACCAGTGTACATGGACCCTGGGGGTGAGGTGGGTTAACACAACAGCAGCATTCATCTGTCGGAGCTGGAATCGCACTGCCAGCCTGTGGCTCAGTGGATTGAACTGCTCAACCAATGATTTTTTTAATGTTGAGAGCAGGATTCGAACTGCCAATATTCAGATCAGTGGACAAACGCTCTGAGCTACTGCCACCCGGTTATAATCTAAACCTGCAGATAGAGACACATCCAAGTGTGTCTCATTCTCAGAATATGGACAGACCATGGCTCATGTGAAGCTCAGAACCTCCAGAATTCCCTCCCTGAGCTGCAGAGGCTGCACTAGCACTGACTCATGACTGGTGCAGGTGCTGGGGTTTAGGGAGTGACCGTTCAGATCAGAGAGAGACATTTTTTAAATATTTCCAACCGGCTTAGTTAACTCAAATATGAGGCTCATTCTGCTTTCTGATTATTATTATTGTCTTAAGAACCACAGCACCAAATGACAATATCAACAACTTACCTTTTTGTAATTAAGAATAAATTAGAGAGAATTGTTAGCATTGAAGTTTACCCTTCCTGGAGTGAAATGACGTGAGCTTGAGTATTGGCGCTCGTCACCATCATTGGTGCAGTCTCATTGTTGTGCCCTTTGTGTGTGCAGGGCATGGCAGGATACATGGCCCCAGCAGGATCTGACATGGCAGCTCTGTCTGACATGAGGAGGGTAAGAAAGTTATGCCTCTTCCCCGCCTCTTTTCATCCACTTCCTGTTTGTATTCCTAATTTTTTCGTTGTCTTCAGTACCGGAGCGTCCTCTAGTCTATTTTGTTGGACAGGAGAGGTTTAGAGGGGCCAAGATCAGATGACAGATGATCAGATGAAATCACAGTTTGATTTAGTGCAATCCTCAAACTGCACTTATTTATCTGTGAACAATCAAATGTCAGAACATACAGGCTTATATTCTAACCCTGGGTCAAGGGTTCTTGTATTAGTTTAGCTGTTCATATTTCATAACATTTCTTCTAGGATCCTAAACATATATTACACATGTATCACGATATTTAATGCCACACTATGGAACCTTTTAGTCAAGAAATACACAAAATTTTTTTTTTTTTTTTTTAATCTTGGTTGGATTTATTGACTTAAAAACTTAGAAAAACATGCATTTTTACTGTGAGCAGGCTTCTCAAACTTGACTCTTATTTGGCCTGGAGGAGGGCTTCCTGTTTTTCTCTGACCGTTAGCCCTGACTGCTAGCCCTGACCGTTAACCTGACCTCACTCTGCTCTGTCTGCTGCAGGACAGTTCCAGCTCTGTGGGGTCAGGAGAGTTCACCGGCATCAAAGAGCTGGACGACCTGAGCCAGGAGATCGCACAACTGCAGAGGTGAGACAGCAGGGGATCAGACAGGTGCATTAGACAGGTGCATTAAGACATGTGGATTAAACAGGTGTGTTAGACAGGTGTATTAGACAGGTGAATGGGCAGGGTTCTATGTGACAGGTGAGGTAAGAAAGTGGGATAATGGGAGCTAGGCCTGTCATGATAATACATATTAAAGCAGAGATATACTGCGATAAACGATATTATTGAAACTACTTTCTTTTTCATTTTTACTTTATGCCACTGACACGAAGCAGGATAATCCCAGTAAACCCACAGTGTCGTTAAAAGCCTTGTGCTGCAAGAAATAATTAGCAGAATGAAAGAGTAATTAGCCACAGAAGTTACTCTTTCAAACCTCTGCATCTCATTTCTTATTGCATTACAACAAAAATACCCCAAATCTCCTTAGTTTTACAAAGAAAATGTTGATACATTTTGGGGCTCAAAATGGATCATATTTATTTATTTGTTTATTCAATAGGGACTGTACATCTTGATGAACATCTGTGAGATTGCAGTGTAATTACACCAGATTATAGCAAAAATGCTCATTTCCATGTGTAGTCCCTAGGCAGGTGACACCACAAATTTAACAGTAAAAACAATAATAAGTGACAAGCGACACTAAAAGTGTCCACAAGTCTGGTTTTCCTTTAGCCTGTTTCAAGTGTGATTTGAAAGTGACCAGTGTTGGAGTCGTTCTTATTGATAATGGGAGAATGTTCCAGAACTTAGTGCCTCTGACTGAGACACATTTTGTCCAAATGTGGTGAGTCTGTGTGGAGCTCACAGTTCCCCCGGGCCGTGGCCCTAATTCCCATCACACTGACAGTCTATGCAAAACTTTCAGTACAAAACATCCATATTTAAAATGAAGAAAATTATAAAAAATATGCAAGTTGTATATTTTTATTTTGTTTATTTTTACAGCTTTTTTTTTTTTTTTAAGTGATTCAAATGGTTTGAGTGTTGTGCCAGCAGCAAGTGACCATGTGTTTATGTATTGGTCTCTATATGAGACAATCATGGTGAGTCATAAAGGATCTTACCTGTCTAAAATTCACTAAGTTAAAATGAACAGTTTTTGTGAGGCGCTTAATGTGTTTCTTAAATGTCAATGATGGGTTCAACATCAGTCCCAGGTATTTGTACAGACAGGTGAGTTTAGGAAGTGAATTTCATTTACTGTGCAATAGTTGTTTATTTATAACCAATTGTAGAACGATTGTGTCATCGCCAGGGAGAAGTACACTCTGGAGCAGGACATCAGAGAGACTGAGGAGTCCATCAGGCACAAGACCACCGAGGTCCAGGTGCGCACCTGTCTGTGTCTAATATTCCTGTTGAGTGGACAGATCTTTATTTGCCTGGAGTCAGTAGCTCTATTACCAGGATCATTCTAAGAGCCCATAGACAATCTCGTTTTCAGGGTTTTTAATGAGAACTTTTAAATCACTGCAAATATTTTCTTAAGATATGTTGCAAATGATTACATGAGATGAGATGCCAAGAATTCATAATGTAATGTGGACTAGTGTAAACTGATGTAGATTCAAATAAAATGGGACACTTTTTAGTTAAAAATTTTAATTTCTTCTTAAAGTTATTCATACTCAGTGGTGGAAGGTAACACAGTGCAGCACTGTAAAAAAATATATATATATTTTGCATACATGTCCCCTCTCATGTCTCCGCCTGTCCCCTCTCAGGACATGCAGAGTGACCTGGACAGGGAGACGGCCGCCCTGCAGGAGTTAGAGGCACAAAAACAGGAGGCGCAGGAGCGGCTGGAGGAGATGGACCAGCAGAAGAACAAGCTGGAGGACATGCTCAACGAGGTCCGCATCAAGTGTCAGGAGGAGTCGCACATGGTGAGATGTTCTGCTGCACTGCTGCACACAGGACACACTGATGATACTGAGGCTGTTATTTTGGTCCCAATGAATTGAATTGAATAAATATAAGAGGTAAGGCTCTTAATCAAATTTACTTCTGTCTCTGATCATGAGAATATATACAGTGTATAATTTGAAGCTGTTACTTTATTGGCAGGTTTGGTCATCAGAATGTTTCTCTCAACCCATTGGGCGTATTGTTTTGACGTGTTTGTTGTGTGCGCAGATCTCCAGCCTGCAGAGCCAGATCCACTCTCAGGAGTCCGACCTCCACAGTCAGGAGGAGGAGCTGAGCCGGGCCAAAGCAGACCTGGGCCGGCTGCAGCAGGAGGAGAGCCAACTGGAGCAGAGCCTCAGCGCGGGCAAGATCCAACTGGAAACCATCATCAAGTCCCTGAAGGCCACGCAGGACGAGATCAACCAGGTACTCACAGCCTCCAGCAGGTACTCACAGCCTCCAGCAGGTACTCACAGCTCCAGCAGGTACTCACAGCTCCAGCAGGTACTCACAGCTCCAGCAGGTACTCACAGCTCCAGCAGGTACTCACAGCTCCAGCAGGTACTCACAGCTCCAGATATATATATTTTTTGTGAGGGAACAATGTAATAACATGGTTACAATCTCACAAAAGTCAATTCAGCACAATATATGTCCTTTAATCTTTGTAATTATGGTAAGTCACATGTGTTGAGAGATTAGAGATGTTTAGAGATATTACAGAGCAGCTCTGTATATTTGCACTCATACTGACACTTCCCTAACACCCACCATTACACATAAAATGTTCAAGGTTATTTTAGGCTTTGGACTTCCTGATGTCAGTGCTTCTGGGACAGGGGGAGGCACAATAGCCCAAGATAAGAACTGTTTTCTAACAGACAGCAGTAAAAATTAAAAGATTTTTAAATAAGGGGAAATGAAACAAAACACAACTTCATGTATACTATATCCCTCCCTGAACCTCCTGTGACTGTGCTGTGCCCCAGGCTCGCAGTAAGCTGTGCCAGATCCAGGACAGCCAGCAGGAGGTGTCTCGGAGCATCGAGCAGTTCAACAGCACCCTGAACGGCACCCACGGGGGCAGCATGACCAACCTGGCAGACATGGGCGAGACATTCAGTGACCGGGAGAACGGGGGATTCACGGCACCTAGACCCACCCAGGTAGGACTTTTAGGTGTCTTTTCTAAGCACTGGCTTTTTCAGTTTGAATCCTCTGATGGTGCCTTGTGATTGTATGTGACGATAGCACATCAGAGTTATTTATTAGAGGCAACAGTACACTGCCCCAGGAAAATGGATGGAAAATGATTGGATAGAAAATGAATGAATGGATGGATATTCTATGTAAATGGGCCAAATTTACCCAAATGGCACCTAAAGAGGAAATAAAAAGCATTTAATGAAAACAACACATGACAGAACTAGATCATAGATTGACAAATGCCCCTACAATAAAATGTATCTTAACCATAACAAGTCTATGTGTGTGTGTGTGTGTGTGTGTGTGTGTGTGTATGTGTGTGCGTGTGCGTGTGCGTGTGCGTGTGTGTGTGTGCAGGTGGAGGATCCATTCAAAGTGAAGGCGTCGGTGTTCCCTGGCCAGCCCCAGCCGGTGTTCCCCAGCCAGCCTCAGGAGCTGCACTGTGACCCCTTCCACTCTGAGGACCCCTTCAAGAGTGACCCGTTCAAAGGTAACTTCACCCTGCAAAATCCATAATGCCACTGAGCAGCCTTGTGTTTCATTTCAGCAGGATTCGATGATGTGCTTGTGCTTTCAAGTGCATATGACAGGTTTTCATATTTTTCTCATTTTTGACTTGGTTTGATGAGGTAGAATCTGTGGTCAATATTGATCAGAGTTTTTCAACAGTCAGTTTGTGAAAAAATGTATAAAAATACAAGAAGTAACTAAGTACTAAAGAGTTCTAAATCAGAATCTCTCTACCTATGTCAGCACCAAAACATCTATTCAAAATGAAGGAACAATTAAATGCACAAGTAAGACATTTAAAAAAAACTTAATTTAACTAAATAAAGATGTTTAAAGAAGTTGATCCTTGTTTACTGTTTGGTTGCTAGGCAACAATTATGGATTACATGCTGCATATGTCACATCCGCTGTGTAACCAGGGAGTAAAATGATATATTTCACCAAAATGAAAATGTGTTAAATATGTTTTAGTGAAGTGAATCTAACCTGGCATATGCACTTGATGCCTCATTGGATGATGATGTGCCTGTAGTTTCTTTTAATCTGATGTCTGGATGATGTGTTGGTTTCTGTTGGATGCTCTCAGCCTTTTGCTTTCTGCTTGTGACTCTTCTCTTTTCTTGCTGTTGCTTTTTTCTTCCTTTGCTCTGTGCTCCTGAAGGTGACCCCTTCCAAACTGACCCCTTTGCAAAGCTGCCCACAGGACCTGCAGGTACATGCTCTGTTAGGAACAACAATCTAAGCCACATAAAGCCAACACACATTGGGCTGCTTTAACGTGCATCAAAATTGCCACCTCCATTATTTTCTATGAGCCAACATACACCAGACCTGTGCTCCGCAGCACTTGACCAAGTGCCACAACTAGGGTTTGTTGAAACGGGACACACCGCTGCATCTGAAAACACATGCATTTTGCACTTGTGCGGTGAATACAGACATGTCTCTGCACTGTAACTGACAAAAGGAGCTCTGTAAACTTTGAGAAGAGGCACAAGCTGCAGGAGAGACAGGGAAATCCCTGGTGTCAAAACACCGCCTCCTCTCCTGCTTTACTACATGCAGGAAAACTCACGCTGTGTCTCTTATTTTATAAATAATCTGCAAATAAAATTTATTTATTAATTTATAACACAGCCAGAGTTGTGGTAAAGCCTTTTTAAGAGCCGTGATGTTCAGTGTGTGTTGACACGTAGGTTCAATATGCGGCTCGCCGTGGTTTGGCGTGTGTTGGCCTAAACACTCTACTCCCCAGGCTTTCAGTTATTGATACACAGAGCTGGGTAGAGTGGCCTACTTAAGAAAACAGTGTTAATATTTAAAAAATATACATCTTTAATGGCTACTATTCTATAATATTACTCAAGTACAAGAACATGACAATACATCAGGCAAAACCTTCTCTTCTAAACAAATGAAGGGAGCAGAAATTGTAATCAAGTAAGCCTTGTATTTGGGGAAACTACTCAAGCAAGAGTCATTCTAAGGGCAACACAGGGTACACATCTTTATTATTTTGAAGTTTATGTAATTAGAAGGACAAAATAGTAAATACTGCACTAATTCTACTTTTCTACATTAAAGAACATAAAGTACCTTAAAAATGAATGAGAAACACAGTGGGAAGAGTAACCAAAACTTTTATTCAAGTTAGAGTACAGTTACACTGTCAAATATAAGTCAAGTAGGAGTAAAAATATAATGTCTAAACTACTAAAAGAAGTACAATTTCATTAAAAAGTTACTCTAGTACGTGCACTTGAGTAAATATATCTGAGTATTACCTCTCTTTTCTTCTTATAAGTGATAGTCAGAGTAAATGTGACATCTTATGTACACTGGCTCCCATTTATGAAACTGCCGTACAGTGAAATTGATGTGTACCATGTATTTGGTGTATGACAAAATTCGGTGCTCTGCAGGGACTGACATGAGCGCATGGTGCGCACAACTCATACATACCACATACAGCCATTTCAAACACGCGCATGGAAAACAACTTTTAACTACATGAAACAGATTACCCTTAATCTATTTGTTTTTTAGAATCAGTTGAGCCAAAATTCTGTTTATTTTTTTTAAGTTTTTTAAGTGTGTTTTAACTATATTTTTGAAGCTACACTCCTAAAACATCCCAAGTTATCACCATAAACTCATTACTTTGAATATAAACAATAGCAGTTCTGTCCCTCGCATCTTGTTCCAAGGTCCAGAGCAGATCCAGTATGGGAAGTCAGAGTGGCGGCGTCCTCAGCGTTCCATTCAGGGATAGGAAGACAGTGCGGAACTGGTCTAGTGCATTATATCTTGTTCCGAGTTGCCCAACATCCACACACTTGGTTATTCATGGAAGAAGCTCTGCTCAGACTGAGGCACCTAATGCCACTCCAACTCATCTGAGACCAGCTGGAACCAGAACTGTATTCCACTGGTTCAAGCGAGGCTGTTAGTGATTTGGAAGTTGAATAAATACATAACAATGAGCCAAAAAACATATTTATTTTTTTTATGTCATTCTTTATAATTCTCTCAACAAATAAATGCAGCATTTTGCCGTATTCCACACCTTTATGCCCTAAATCCTGGGGGTGAGGCCACTTAAAACATTCTAATTCAAATGACACTGGTTTTCACCTGTCACATTTATCACTCGCTGCTCGTGCGTACGGTAAGATCAGAACTCATCGCACAAGTTGATAAATGCCACGCGCCCTCTGCCATATGTGAAAATATACACTCAAATATACACCCTTTTCACCGCAGTGTTAGTAAATGAGGGCCACTGTCTTTCTCATGTTTTATCAGCTCAAAGCTAGTTCAGCATTCCCCTGTGTGTGTTTGTGACTGTACGGTCCTGCTCAGATCCATTTGGAGGAGACCCGTTTAAAGAGACAGACCCGTTCAAGTCGTCCTCCGAAGATTTCTTTAAGAAGACCACCAAGGACCCCTTCTCTTCAGCAGACCCCTTTAACAAAAGTGCTACACTGCCATCCAAGGTACACTACACTCTCAAAACTCACACATCATGCTCTATTCTACTGCCCCTGTCCTGGGCCGCCCTGGGGAGGTATTCATGTCCTACTTGGAGGGCTTAGCTTCTGCTGGCCACAGGGTTATGGTGAAAACAACTGCTGTCACTAGAAAGAGGTTATTATCAGGAACATGTATTTAAAAACTCTAAATTCACATTCAAATAATCTGGATTTACAAATCAAATTCCAAAACTTTCTCAGTCTTTCACAACTGATCCAGTATAGCACCTTAAAGGGTACCTTTAAAGGTGCTATACGGGTTTTCTCTGTTCTTTACAGTTCTCACTGTGTCCTTTACAGCAGCAAACCAGTCACTTTCCGAGCGCTGACCCCTTCTCTTCAAGCAACCCAAAGTCTAAAGGAGCCGGTACGCCCCTTGCAATTCAGTAATGTAACTGTGGCCATGACTCCTGATGACTCGTTTATGTTGGGTTCAGATTTGTTCGGCTCCCTGGACCCGTTCGGCAGCAGCTCCTTCAGCAGCACTAACACCTCCGCAGGCTTTGCAGACTTCAGCCACATGTCCAAACCCAGAGACCCATTTGAGGGCAGGGCCAGCTGGCTGCCAGACTACCAGAAGGTGGCCCTTTAGATGCTCTCCTCATAAATGAGTACACGTGCATTTTCAAAATCAGCGTTTCACTGTGGTCATGTTGTGTTTCTTTTGTTTAGTCAGTATTTGCAGAAGACCCGTTCAGTAGAAAAAGTGACACCCCAGCTCTGCCCCCAAAGAAAGGAGTCCCGCCAAGACCCAAGCCACCCAGCGGTTAGTGTTCACAGCTCCGACACTGCACACGGCACTCCAGTACTGACTGCATGTTCTACCTGTGTCTGGGCTCTGGATTACCCGTCATATTAAATATGCATTAGTGCTATTAGAGGTGTCACCTCATTTGTTTTGTTATGACTTTAGCTATGGCATTTCATATTTTAGAATTTAAAGTAATGGCTAATTATAAATACATATTTTTCAACTTCAACACTCTGAGATTGCAGTTGGAGTGAACGTGATTTAATGAATGAGTCTGGTGAAACTATCTGGACTTTAAAACTGCTTAGGGTCTCTACCTATGACGCAACAATCCTGGTGCTCAGAAGACTTTTTTTTTTTTTTACAAAGGATTAGATTAGATTCAACAACCACATTTCTGATGAGGGAATAATGTTATGCAATTGTTAAAAACTCAAAAAAGTCAATTGTGCATAATGTGTTCTTTAAAATGCACAATAGGATACTCCTCCAGCTGAAAGCAAACCCTTCTACCAAACCCCTCTAAAGATCTGGAGATGGATTTCAGGGTACGGTTCAATGAAACTGATTAAGAAAACATGCAATGTGTAATCTCTTTCTCCTCCTCCTCCTCCCAATCCTCCTCTTCCTCCTTTTTCTCCTGCCCCTCCTCCTCCTCTCTCTATGTTCTCCCCTTCCTCCTCAGGTAAAAGCACGCCTGTGAGCAGTGAGTCCAGGAGCGATCCGTTCCAGCCCTTTGGCTCTGAGCCTGTGGACCCCTTCCACAGTAAGAAGGGAGTGGACCCCTTCAGTGGCAAAGACCCCTTCGCTCCAGCCTCCACCACAAGTAACTCTCTGAGCTTTTAAGGTTTAACACATATACTTCAGCTCCTTCTGACCTCTTTATATAACCTCATATAACTTTCCAACCATAAAAGATAGAAACCTTTCTATCTAGACTTTCAGCTTTCTGGCATTATCCTCCGTCACATGCTGCGTGATGACGTCAGAAAAACACGTGTCCAGTAGGAACTTTGTTTTCCTCCAAACACTTGCGCTCCATCCATTTTGATTGGGCCAAACTTTGCCAAAGAGTGTAGTGAGTCAAAACGGTCGATGCTCTGAGTGTCTGTGTTCGTAACAATTGAAAAAGCCACTCTAAGTGCAGATATTTCTCTAAGAAAGTGCAAATTACACATCTCATGTTTATTTTTTATTTTTTGTTTATTTCAAATAAACAGTAATAAACACCCTGGAAATGCAGGAAGTGATGTGGCTCTGTGCCCTGGACCTGACACCAGCTGTTTCCATGAGTCATTTTTTGTTTTGAGGCAATAAGGAGATTCTTAGTTTACTTACAGACTTGATATGTTGCGCTTTTGTAGCTAAGGCTCCAAAGAAAGCATTTTCTTATGTCCAAAAAGTATTTTTATATATATATATATATATATATATATATTATATATACACACATACATATATATATATATATATATATATATATAGTATATAGTATAGTATAGTATGAATATAATATAGTTTATATCATAGTTATATATTATAGATACATATTTGCTGTGTGTTTTGTATGAAAGAGTGGAAATTTTATTTTCCATTTTCTTTTTTTTATTTGTATTTCTGGTCCCGTAGCTTTTATTACAGTCATATGACACAACTCCAGCAGCAGATTGTGAAACAGGTTGTACTAAAGAAAAGGATATATAACAGTTCATTAGGGGGTAAAGAGGAAGTTTTAATAGCAAAATAAAAAAAAATAAAAATCCAGGCGAGGACAGATGTACTAAAATTGCCCTTAGGCATAACCTGGCTCCAGATTCTCTCCTGAGCATCACCGTGAGCATCACAAGCTTCGTTTGACTGGAGCCAAACTCTGTGGGCAACATCACACTCACTTATTCCACTTCTTTATACAGTCTGTGGTTTAACACAATGCAAATGGAATCAGCTTCACCAGAGATAAAATAATGTGGCTGGCTGTTATTTGTGTGACAGGTTTTTATGTTTTGCTAATTATTACTAGGTGGAATGGTACCTGTACTGAATATTTACAGTATCATAGTTTTACATCAGGGAAGTGCCAGTATGTGGGAAAAAAAATTAAGAAGAAAAGTACAAAATGAACTGAATTTGGGCTGAGTGATAATCCTGTATTCTATGTCATCAGCACAGAGAACTCCATCCAAAAAACAGATTCTATTTATATTAGTCTTGTCATCAGTACTGTGTAATATAGGCATTATGGTTCATTGGTAACAGAGCTGGAAGTACCTCTACATATGTCATACTGCTGCCCGTGTCCATCCAGGAAGTAAAATTATTCACTAAAATAAAAATTTAAATAAAATCTTAAATATGTGAAAAAATGCTCAAACCTGTCACATTCAGTGATGGGAAGAATACTTGGACAATGTATTTAGTTACAGAATAGTGAATAACTACATTGAAATGTATTTGGTAACATATTCTGATACATGGCCCAATCAGTCCAAGTCCAATCAGAGTATTCTGAATACAATATTTAGAATACCTTTCACGCAGAATTGCATTTTAATGATAGAGTAATGACGCAACATAGGGTTAAAAACAGCTTTATCTCTTTCACTGTTTTCTCTACATTTATGTATCACCAAGTGAAGAAAGAAACATGAACCACAAGAGCCGTGTTTTATATTTTTCTCACTGATTCAGTGCAGTTTGAAGCCTAAATTATGTGATCAAGTACTGCTGTGTGTTTCTCATTTTTGGAAAGTAACTGTATTCTGAATACCACCAAATAATTAGAATGCAGCTTCTCAATCTAGAATACGTATCCTCACTACATGTATTCAGGCATAGTAACAGGCATTTAATAGGCACTTTAAATCTGCACCGTAGGCCTGGCTACTGACTAAAGGATTTCACTTTATTTAGTGCAAAGATGGGACTGCACAAAATGGGACGACACAGCTCTCTTCTGAGTTTACAGTGAAATAGGGCTTTGCATACACATGTTGGGGGAAATTATCAAAATTATCCCTAACTGTGGGCCCCAAACTAGCAGCACAGTTTATCAATCATCGCTGGCTCTGGTTGGCAATGAAAAAAATCACTTGGGCCCATCTCTAAACTGAATTACTTATGCTTGTCTCTGTGTCATGTGTCTTGGTGGATAATGTGTTTTTAATGTGGGTTTTTTTGTGTGTGTTTTGACAGGAGGAGAGAAAGGCAAGGTAAGACTTGATGAAATTCATGTTCTGTTTATAAATCAGAAGTTCTAATTTCACACAATGTTCTAGTACAGTGTGTTTGCTCTAGTGAGATAAATAAATGTGCAGAATATAGATATAGTCGTCTGAAGTTGTCTACAGTGTTCACCAAGGACGATGCCTGATGGGGCTACAGGGATGATCTCAACTGAAAGTAACTAGAGGCACTGCTCTGTCTAAAGCTCTGTTACTCAAGTTACACTTTAATATGATATTTGTTTTAACATAATCTGACCATAAAGGAGGGACTATCTAGCCATGTGGAACACAGCAGCACGTGCATTCTGGTCATGTGCCTTTTTCTTCTTCAGTTTGGGAACGAGGCGCAGCAGCTGGAGTGGGCCAAACGCGAGAGCGAGAGGGCGGAGAGAGAGAGACTCAAGAGACTCAGGCAGCAGGAGCAAGAAGACCTGGAGCTCGCCATTGCACTGAGCAAGGCCGAGATGTCCAACGCCTGAGGACATGTCCCCCAACATGTCCCCCAACATGTCCCCCAATGGCTGAAGACATGTTCGCCCAACAGCTGAGAGGACATGTTCACCCAGCAACCTAGGACATGTCACCCTATGGCCCCTGACCTACACCTCAGAGGACATGTCCCCCTGTCCCACAGCAGAGAGGACATATCCCCCCAGCGCCGGAGAAGACATGTCCCCATCGCCTGTGAGGACATGTCTACTGTCTACTCACTGTTTATTATGAAGACTAATGGTAATTACTGTACTTTGGAGAACTTCAAACTAAGCCTGTTGATTGGTGAAGGAGGATGGTTCCAGCTGAATGTCCCTCCCCCAGGACTGAGGGGCTGAGGGGACACAGAGCCAGGACTGTCTTTGCTTTGGACCTCCCTTCCTCCACACTCAGAGTTTGGGTGGAAGTCTGCCTATTCTCCTGGGGTTCTCCAGAAGCTGCTGCTCTACACTGGTCTGAGAACTTCAGGACTCTTGTATTATAAAATGTCCCATGTGTTGTGTCTCCGCCTACGTCTCGACTGCTTATCCTGATGACTTCCTCCAGGGATCCTACATAACAGGTCCAGTGCTTTTTACAGTATGTTACATGTGGGTGAGTCTGCAGGGGGTGGAGGTGACCTCACAACATTCTAGAGGCCTAATCATTAAAGGTGCACTATGTAACTTTTCTGGCAAATGAAGATGAGAGACTGTGAGACAGTGATATGCAGATTTTGTTGTAATATTGCAGGTCTAACCAATAGAATGTCATTCACTGATTTCAGCTTCCTGTTTGTAGGCGCCACTTTGAGGATAATGATAAAATATTTTCTTTTGACTTTTTTATCACTTTAGCAACAGTGCTAATTTTTCATCTCTCTGAAACCCATGGATTGATTAATTGGTATTTTCATAAGAAATACCCCAAAAGATATTGGCTCTGATCAGTAATGACAATAATGGTCCTTATAGTTGCTATTACAACACATACACTACTGATCAAAAGTTTTAGAACACCACACTTTTTCCAGTTTTTTACTGTTGACCAAAACATATTTTAAACTTTTGATTGATGTGTGTGTCCAGCTTTGGCAGATAGAACAGCCGAACACACTTGCGGCTCATTCTTTTTACAATAGAAATCAAATATTGTTCAGAAAGTTCTTCCCAAGTCTGTTGCAGAAGTTTCCATAAATGTGTGGCACTTGTAGGTTGCTTCACTCTTCTGTCCAGTTCATCCCAAACCAGCTCCATGGGGTTTAAGTCTGGACACTGTACTGCTGCTGGACACTCCAGGTTTTCAAGCTTTATCATCTTGTTCTTTTTTCCTGAGGTCGTTTTGGTAGAGCTTGAACTTGTGTTTTGTGTCTTTTATCTTTTTTAACCTCTGTCTGTTCAGTTTTTACCTTTGTACCATTTCAAGCTCTTCATTGGACTTGCACAACTTGTTTTGAATTGTAAAAAATAACTGGAAAAATAGGATGTTCTAAAACTTTTGACCGGTATTGTATGTGTGGGATAGTAGACATAATGTAAATGCATCATACCTGCATCGATTCCATATTACAGGCCTGTAGAAAGTAGAGATGTCATCTGAAACGCAGTAATAGAGTGAATCTTCTCTGTCTAATGCAGCTCTATGGTCAAACACAGACACCCCCACCCGCTCCTACTGTTGGTCAGTCTCTGTAAGGTTCTGAGTGAGTGACAGGTGGTTTCAACCAATCACAGTGAAGTATGAGCTCTCACGTGAAACAGATGGCTTTAGTTACCTCATGATATAAAACTAATAACTGTACCAGAGCTATGATAAACATGTACCTAACCTTAATGAAAGCCCTGATGTATGGTTTAGTTTTACTCTGTGGCTGGATTGATGAGTCTATTATAAGGGACAGTTTTATTTTACATACAACTGTACAACCAACTTAAAGAGGGGGTATTATGCAAATTCATCTTTTTGGAATTAGTTATAACGTTGTTCCCTCAGCAAAAACATGCCTGGAGACATTTTAGAGTCATCCATGCATGTTTGAGCAATCTAGCGATCTCTCTTGGGCCCTATGGGAACCCTTCTTATGATTAGCTATAAGATTCTGTACAAGGCTCCGCCCACAAGCCTACATCAGCCATGCTCCCACACGACATTTCTCCATAAATACACGAAAACAGGATGTGCAGTAGTTTCATTAGCGGCATGCACGCTGATTGTGTTGTGTAGTGCTCTGAAGGGGAAGTGGCTTAGTGCAGAGAGCATATAGAGGGGAGACTCGTAGCATCACAAATTCAACTGAAACATATTAATACATTGTTTTCAGTGAATGTACCATGCATTTTCAAAACATTCAAAGATAACATGGTGATCTAATCCGTGTATCATTCTTTTTTTTTTTTTTCAAAATAAAACCCAAAATAAGAAAACAAAAAAACCAACTATTTTCTTCATTATTTGTCTCATTATTTGTTTTTTCCATTATTCATTTAAACACAAAATTGAAAAAACTAATTGTTATCTGTTTTTTCATTTTGGTTTTGGAGACAAATAATGAAGACTTTTTTTTTTTTTTTTTTCATTTTCTTACTTTAGATTTTATTTTGAAAAACGAATGAGCGAATAATACACAGATTTGATCTAAATTTATACAATGAATCCCTCACAGAAGTGCAATACCTCCTCTTTAAGTACTGCTTCTGTGTCTGACCCAAGCACAAGCTGCTGTTACACAGCGACCTACTCCAGCCATGTTCGTTACATTTAAGAAACATGACTCCAACACATTAAGCATTTTGTATTCTTCTGACTAAAACTGTGATTTTGTCGAGGGCACTCACATTTTCATGTACATGTGGAATAACATTTGTATTTATTTATTTTAATTTTTTTGTGCTAAATGTGTTTAGTTTTAACAAGAATTTGTCATGATATGTTATTATTACCACTGGTTGTTTACAGCTGCGTTAAATCACAAATGAACTGAAGGGAAGAAGTGGTTGTGATGTATTTTAATGGAATTGTTTAAATTGTGTGTTGTAGAGGTGGGCAATATATCATTAACTGAACAGTTCTGAAGATATGCAAGGACAATGAGTATATTGTCTATAATAAAACTAAATATAATATTAATATAAGCAAGTGAAATTTCTGGATTTAATGTTAATTTGACAGTCCTTTCACTTTTGTTTGACCAGGACATTTAAGCCCCATGCACACATAAATCCCAGAAAACTGCCGGGTACAAAATGCCAGAATGGAACCATGTAGTGTAACCAGGAAACCAAGCTCGTAACCAAGGAAACTAAGCAATGTTACTGTCAGTTTTCTGGCTTTATTCACACACAAACCGTCCCTGTGTATTTCCATTTACCTGGGAAATCTGCAATTCAAAAGCCTCATTCACACACGCAGCCTGACTTGGGAATGTACCTGCATTTTGCCAGAAGAAAGCCAGAATTTAACTATATACTCAATTATGGCCATACCACTTCTTGGTTTTCTCGGTTACAAGCTTTTCTGGTTATTCTACATGGTAATGTTTCACTCTGGTTCAGTGTAAATGATGCTGTTGTGAGAAAGAGCAGCTGCACAAATGCAGGTTATGTGTGAACAGAGCAGACCCAGCAATGTTCTGGGACTGGTGCATGTGTGAACGGGTGCCACTGCTGAATGTTCTTTTTGTACCCAGGGAACTATGTGTGAATGGGGCTAAATATGCAGGAAAATAGTTGTGGCTTTGTTCACACATGACCCTGTTCTGGTAAAGTGCAGGTAAACTCCCAGGCAAGGCTGCATGTGTGAATGGGGCTGAGCAAACCAGTTTAAGCACATTCCTGGTGGATTGTAAAAATAGTTGATTACAGTTCTTGGGGAAAGTAGTTTTGTGAGTATGGCCCACCCCTACTGTATAGTTTTGTTTCTCCAGTTCTTCATATCATACATGTTCTCTGGAAAGCAGACAGTGTTTTCAGTATTCCTGATTTGAATTGCTTTGTTTTGCACACGCACGGCCAATGCTGATGTGGCTCATGTTAAACGGAAGCGAGCTCCTGTAGTTTCCTCTGGTGTTTGTTTGGTCTGGTCTCTGAGGTGGACGCCTGAAGCAGGTGTACAGACGCTTTACTCCTGGGCTGCATGATATGAACGCTAAAATACTACAATAATCAACAAGGCCTGTCTCATTTATATGCTGCAGAAAATATGACGATAAATTCCACAAAACAATATTTTAAATTAAAGTTGCACTCTGGAACCTATCTGCTTGCCTCCATGGAGATGTTACTGCTTTCCCTGAAATGTTCCACAGTATGGCATTAAACAATGACTTAAATAATCTTTTTTCAATTACAGGTGTTGTTAATGCTCAAAAATAAATGCCTTCCACAGATCTGATCTGTAACTTGACAGTGTCTCCCAGTTGTCTCCAGTGAGATGGGTGAGTTAAATGCTATACTTTGGAACATTGCCTTGAATTCAACATACTGAACTTGTTTGTTGTTTGAGTAGAGAGTTCTTTGTCAGAAGGGCCGCTGGTGCAGATTGGCATGTTCACGTCCTACAGTCTGCCCCAGGGCAGCTGTGGCTACAATAATATCTGATCACCAGTGAGAGTGTAGTGAGTGAATACTGCACTGTGGTGTTCTGTCTGACTTGGAAGGCACTAGCTCACAACTTAAATATGACTGAAAATCTTCCAACACACTATAGAAACAGAAATAATAGTTTGACTAGTTGACTGCTTTTCCTCCAAATATAAGTTTCTCATTGTTGGGCCATATTCAAGAGGAAAAGTGTGTTAGGTGGAAGGGCACCAAGTGCTACCATATCTTTGTTTGTTTTAACATGAGTATTGCAGTATTTCTATCATTTGTGAGTATTTTATGCAGCCCTGGTGTAGCTTGACCTGGACAAATGTCTGCGTGACACGTACTGGCTTCATTCCTCAGTTGTGCAATAGATGTTACATACTTTTTAGTCTGACATGTGTGTACTGTACTGTATATTTCAATCATATTTATAACTGTCTATATTAGCTTCCTTTTCATTTCATTTCTCATTGAGAGTTCAGAATGTGACAATGAACTGCCCTCACACAAAATCTCACATTATTCACTACAAAAGAAGGGCCACTGATGGAGAAAGCACTGACCTGAGAGTACATGTGGGCGGGGCTGGAATAAAGACCTGCCAAATGAAATGTGTTTGTGTGTCCACTTGTCCCTGGTGTTTGAAAACTCCTTCTGACTGGAGACTGTCAGCTGCATTTCACCACCTTTCTACACGTGGAGGCCAGTAGGGTGCACCTTCAGCACTTTATGTACAATTGTTATGTCACATTTCACAAACAGGACCCAGTGGTGTATGACGTCAACGTGTTCAAATCATTTATTCATGGCTACAAGCTTAAAGATTAAAGAGCCTAACTAAGGGTCGTTATTGTGATGTTTCCTAACTCATCTTCAGTGTTGCCATTTGATTAAATCCATTTGGTTTAAACCTAAAAGTACTCTCAGATCTAAATCGTCATTACCCCGGTTCCAGCAGCCACATTGTGAGTGCAAAATTCTACTCAAGAATTAATGCAAACTAATACACTGATTTCAGGGAAACAAGAATCTTGTTGCCATATCATTAGCAATTAGCAACAGGTGACATTCTTTGTATTATTGTGACCACAAACATACAATTAAAAACACTTTATTCAATTACTTACTTTTCACAATCTTATTTTTCACATGATTTTCTATTTGCTCATGCTCTTCCTCCACTCACAAGATGGCCGCCGTGGCAACAGAAGCCATTGTCTCCAGCCTTTTTTAAGTACTTTTTGGACGGGAGTGTATGGAGTAAGAAAGCTTTCAAAAATATTTGCGCGCATAGAATAGAAATCCGTGCGTATTTGCCATAAAATAAATATTTGTAAACTCTCAAATGAGCCCAGCTGTATAACAAATTATCTTCCTCAAATAAAAATAAATAATGCAAACAAACCTTTTTTCATAATTTTGTACAGAGTAAATACTTGAATTTCCTCAAAAGATTAATGACACTTTTCCAAACAATGTACCACAAATAATCTCCAGTTGTTTTCCTTTATAACAAGCAAATAGTGTTTAAGTCTATTTGAGATAACTGAACCTTTCTGCAGGTGGAGAAGTCCCTAAGCTCCACCAAAAATGACCCATGAGACCTTATTTTCAAAAATTCCATTTGAAGTTAAGTTAGTAGATGTTTTTATTACTTTAAACTAATCAGAATATGCCAAAGTTTCTCTGGTAAAAATTTTATCAACATCTAACTGTGCCCCCAAAGAAGGGGCCAAAAAGATCACATTTGGTTTGTGACCATATTTGGAACTCTACACCATCCACATGAAAGCTCAGAAAAGTGTGAGATTATTGTCAGAAATGGTCATTCTCTCAAATATTCAGGTTCAACAGTTAGTTTGTAAATATCTGCTTGAAGTAAATAGATCTTGGACCTCAAAAATTGACAAAAAATGTATATATGACCAAGAATCTACAATAATACACATTTTCAGCTTCCTAGCTCTATTCTTCATGAAGTACTGGTCTCTCAAACATGCTTCTAAATTAAGGTATCTGAAAAAGTGAGTATGACCCCAAAATTTCAATGGGCCATAACTCAGGAACGACTCAAGGAATTGAGCTAAAATTTGAGATTCTTTCATTTGGTGATTTTAGAATTTTTTCGAAATTTTTTCAGCCAAATCTGAGCTGGCTCATAGGGGAGGGTGGCTGATTTCATATGGACTGACCCTCTATTGTACTGTATATTACTGAATATTACTGTAGTACATTTGAGGATACCATATCACAGTACCTCAGTTACATCCAAAGTAACAAACAGAAGTGGGAGGGACATGTTTCAGTTTGTTCTTGTAAAATTCAGCACCACATGTATCAACTGTAAAGAGAAAAAGCATCAAGAAGCATCAAGTCTAAGTCAAGTCCAAGTCGAGTCCCGACTCTTAGTCCATTTTATCAAGTCAAGTCTCAAGTCCTAAAAATAGTGACTCAAGTCTGACTCGAGACCAAGTCACGACTTGCAAGTCCCAACCTCTGATTAGCACAATGCCCAGAGAGAATGGAACGAGGGACGTGGCCATGTCCCAGCAACAGAAAGTCCAAGGAAATTTAAGATTGAAAACGTTTATTGTCATGTGCACAGTTAGAAAACATGTTTCCCTGTACAGTTCATTGATTTCTTTGCTGCCCACACACAACGACAAAAAACTCAGATTCTAAGGCATAAAACAGACAATAAATAATATCTATGTATTTTTAGGTGAGGTGTTTGAGACCAATTCTTGTTTTAAAGACTGAACTCTGGAGCCTGTTGCCAGAAGCCAAATGATAAACCCACAGCTACAGTTAGTGCAGTTAGATCCCTGACAATAATGACTTCAGTCTATAGAAGAGGAGAACTTATTTTTGGCTCAATATCAGTTAGTTTAGATTTGAGTGAAAAACTGGAGGGTTCTGGAAATAAAGGTTGATTTTATACACACACACACTTGTGTCATTCATTCCATTATTTATATATATATATATATATATATATATATATATAAATGACACATTTAGTGATATAGTTATTGATAACAGTAAAAAAAGGGACAGCTTCATAGAACATTCAGTCTAGAGATGTGTATGCATGTGTGTTTGTGTAGGGGAGGGGGTCTGACCTGCACGCACTCTGCGCAGACACTAAACATGAAGAACACAAGAGAAGGTAGGAGATACTCAGCTGACATTGTGGTGCCCATCCTGGACTGTAAGTGAAAATCATGCTTGTCAAAATGTGTTCTGGCGCCAGGCCTAACTGCAGTTCACATGCCAATGTGGGTCTTTGAATTTCATTATGGGCAGAACAGTGAAGGTCTGTTACCATGGTACCATCAACTCTGAGTTTGCTCAAACCTATCTACCCTGAACTAGACCTTAAGTGGGCTTCCAACATCAGGCCTCAGATGGTCCAAAAATCTTCAGGATAGAATCTTTTAAACACTTGTATTCTACAAGTCATTACCTGGACACTTCAGAGGCACCAAGCACTAGTGTTTTACATTTCCATTTTAGTGTCAAAGTGTGAGTTCAATTTGTGCTCGATGACTTTCATGGAACACCAGACAAGCTCTAGGGGATCTCATTTATAAAACTTTTCCATACTGTACTTGTTTTTTTTTCCACTATTAATCAAAATGTGTCCTATCCCAGTACAGATGTGTCCTTCCTGCATCTTAATAGGCCTGGATGATACAGCCAAAAAATAATATCCCAATTATTTGGCACAATCTGGACGATTATGATTGGAATGGATTTTAATGGAAGTCAGAGCAGGGACTTTTTCAAACAGGCGAAGTTCTTTACATTTTTATTCTTATCACATTCTATTATTTAAGACATTATGAACTGCCTTACTGAGCTTTTTTGTTTGTTTGTTTGTTTACAGTAGCAATAGTTTAATTGCACAATAACCCTGCAAGGTCAATTGTTTAACTGCCCAGCCCCACATCTTAAGTATAAAGAATTTTATTGTCCATTAATCAGGAAGTGCACAGTTAGCCTGATAGCTGGCAGCTTTACTGTGATTGCTTAACTGCACTCTGGCCTCTGAAAGTTATGGAAAGCACTTATAAAGTCATTGCGGTGAATAATTTGGATGCTCAGAATGCACAAGGTAAGTGAGACAGTGACAACTGCTAAACATTTAAAATTGACTACTTCTGTTTTTCATGTTTGTAAGATTGGAAAAATCACACATAACATTTCAGTACGCTGTATAAATGAGACCCCAGGACCTATATGTATGAGCACTTGTAAAAATGCAATGGCAGTATCAACAATTGCTTCTATGGCATACATGGATGTGACATTATAAACAGGATTCCTTTCTCACTTTTCAGATTAGACTTAATAGTCGCCAGTTGAAGCCTGGAGACACAGTTCCACAGACAGCTTGGTTTACACACCACAACATCACGATAGAAAACAAAGCAGAAAATGTCTGCCCACGAGAGTCCCGGGCACTTTGAAGACCCACGGGTATGTTCAGTCAGAGAGCGAAGGCAGAGCTGTGAGGGACACATGTGGTGATAAAGGGTGTTAGATGCACCGTTCACAGTCAGTTTAACGAGTCACAGAAACAGTACAAGACACATGCTCCCGGGAACCACAGCCTCACGCTCCATGCGGCCCCACACTCCGTACACACAGGGCCTTTCCATGGATGAGCTGAGGGCTTCCAGAAGAGCCCCTCATCCTCCGTCCATGTTAGTGTACCATCATTGCACCAATAACACATTCAACCATTTAATGTCAGTAGACTCAGGCACGCACTCATCCATGCCTTTGTACACAATATATGTGCTGTAAAAACGCACACTACAATACATATCTCAACAAGGCATTACTGACAGGAAATAAATATTAATAAATAAAGTCTCCTAAAAAGAATACTTCCAAAGAGCAACGAGTGCCTCTTAGCAAATGTATCAAAGACTTGGGGAACATATATTGACAGTGAAAAGGGACGGCTTCATAGAACATTCAGTCTAGGGATGTGTGTGTGTGTGTGTGTGTTTTGTGTAGAGGAGGGGGTCTGACCTGCACGCACTCTGAGCAGGCACTAAACATGAAAAACACAAGGGAAGGTAGGAGATCCTCAGCTGACATTGTGGTGCCCATCCTGTACTGTAGGTGCTGGCAGTGAACAGAAAGTGTGAGTGTGTGTGTAGTGGACAGGGCAGGTCTGTAGATGGGCTTTATAAATTAGTTCATCCGAGTACATTGTAATAAAAAACAGACACGATCCTTTTCAATGTGCATGTGGGAGGAGCCCTGATCGTGTCTACCCTTACAAAAGCCATGGGTGATGAAGCATGGGTGTCCCTGCTTGGATCAGTATTGGACAGAGACAGACAGGAACGCACTATGAGACAAAGAACGCAACTGTTTACTGTGCGGAAGGGCACACAGGCAGAGTCTGAGCTGAGGCAGAGGCTGTAGAAGGAAGCGCAGGGACCAGAGGGACGAAAGGGGCCGAAGAGTGGGCCAGGAGGACCGGAGGGGTCAGAGAAAGGACCAAAGGGGTCAGAGAGAGGACCAAAGGGGTCAGAGAGAGGGCCAGGAGGAGCCAATGGACCGGTGAGAGGACCATGAGAACCAGAGGGTGTGGAGAACGGACCAAATGAAACCAAGGAAAGGACCAGGAAAATCAAAGGGACCGGAGAGAGGGCCAGGACGGCCAAAGGGGCCCGAGAGAGGGCCGGAGAGAGGGCCAAAGAGTGGATCAGGGAGGGACAGGGAGAACGAGGGCGCTATAGAATGCCGTCCATAAAGCTGGTGTCCAGGCGCTGGATGAGCAGGCGGATGAAGGACATCTCCTTGCGGGTATTCTCAAAGATGATGCGAGGGTCATCAGACTGGCAGCGGAGACAGTTGGGGGCCATGACCATGGCCAGGTTGTTCACGTCCATCTTGGTGATGGTTACATTGGCAGGCTGGGCGAACACCTACCAAACACATAACAGGTGTCAACAACAGATCCACCTACCAGAGCGGCCAGCACACACAACACTGAGCCCAGAACTTAACAATGACTCTTGATGTCATATGAAAGAGAGATGTCTCAGTGGAGTTGGTTTGACTGGAGTGAAAAAGCAACACTGAAGAAAAGACAAACCTTGGTCAAACTTTTCATCCATCCAGAAAATGCAAGTGTCGCCCATAGATCAGTGTTAAGAGATCTTGGACCGGATGTTTTCTGAATGGCTTCAGAATGACACAAGTACAGAGGTTTTCTCCAGAGCTGATGCTAGCAACATTCTCTTGGGGTGTGATGCTAACCTGCCAGAGCATCTGCACCTGTCAGAGAACCTGCCAGAGAAGAAGCAGGGGTTTACCTGGAGGAAGCGGATGAGGTAGCACAACACCAGCTTGTTGATGTGTGGTAGGCCCAGCACCACGGTGACGGCGGCCTCTGGGTTGTCATAGTGACGGATGCACTCGTCATAGAACTCGTGAGGGATGAGTGGCTCCTCCAGCTCACGGTACCACAGCTTCAGCAGAGACGCTGCAACAGCACACAGCTTCAGACAGAGGCCTCAGACTTACAGTACTCCCCTGCACGGGAGAATACTGCACAGGAGAGGAGTGCACGGGAGGAGTACCTGGAATGTGAGGATCCTCCAGGCCTGTGGGGATCTTCCACTGGTCCACCTGTAGCTTCAGAGCATTCACCTCATCAATGTCCCCAGGAACTCTGCACAGATCATATAGAGACCACACACAGAGAGGTCATATATATATATATATATATATATATATATATTATATATTTATATTAGGGTGGTCCAGAAAAACATGTAAAAAAATAAAAGTTTTAAATTTCTCGATTTGAACCCAGCAAACATTGACCATAAATACAAAAGCAACAGGGTTAAAATTTCAGTGAAATCCAACATGATTTAGAGGTTGCACAAGCCTTTTTAAGTTTCAAGAATTCTCTCTCAAATAACAAAAGTGTGTCTGTTTGTCACACTGCTTTGTGTCTGATGAGCTGGCAGGATTACATACTCTACATTTTGCCACTTTTCATTAAATAATCCATTATATTCTTTCAATAAGCAATAATCTCTGCAACAGTCATACCAATTTAGCAGAGACAGAATAGTTGTCATATGAGATCAACACTCACAATCAGTTTACAGTCATGTATACTGTACAGCATGACTGCTGAAGACAAACTTTAGAAAAAGGCTATGAGGAAAGATTTGTCAGCTTAACATTGCTGATAGTGTTGGTAAGTAAATTTCTGTTTTCTATATACAAAACCTATGCAATAGTTTGTCAAATTTAATATGAACAGTGCTAATATTAATTAAACACTGACAGATTTTTTTTAAGTTTGTACAAAATTTAGTGGATTCATGCAAGAAAGAGAGGGATCACCCCACGTTCCCCACCGTCTTGATGCAAATGGAAGCTATGAACAGAAGACCCTCAGTAATTTTGTGACAAAGAATACAAATGCATTCTTTACTATTCTTGGTCTGCCACAGTCATTTCTGCAAATGCCACCTGAAATATGGAAGGAAAATGAGGAGTTCACTTATGCAGAGAAGGTAGTACGATCCCTGAAAGTTGTGAACGACACAGCAGAACGGGGAGTGAAGTTGATCCAGGACTTCAATGCTATATTAACCAAATCAGAAGAACAGAAACAATTCCTACTACAGCTGGTTCAAAATCACAGAAAAAGCTACCCTGACTCAAAGAAAGACACAGTTGTCAAAGGTCTTGCCACTTCTTCAAGTGAGCAGGCAGTTTGAACTGACTTGGTTATCGGGTTAGTCATTTTCATCAAATGATAATTTTTTATATAAGTTTCATTATATTATGTTACAACATGTGCTTTATGCATATATATTATATAAATATATATATTAAACCTATAGCATACAAGGAATAAATACTTTGAAAATTGATATTTCTGCTGATTTATACTATTTGGCTAATAAAGAGAGATAAAAAGGTGATTTTTCTATGGTGTTGTGCAACCTCTAAATGTCATTTAATGTAGCTCAAATTTTTTATGTGTTAACTGGTAGTAGGCCAAAATGCATGGTTCAAATTAGAAGATTTTTTGGGTCACCCTAATTATATATTATATATATATATATATATACATATACACATATATATACACACATACATAAATAAAACAATATCTATAGATAGCTGGATATAGATATAAAAAATGCACTAATGATCAGTTTTATTTCTCATGGTAAATCAAACACAGCGAACAATGAACTCAAATATATTTCATCCCCATGTTTGGTGACGTGGTTAACAGTCTGACTGACCTGAAGATGCCCTCTGTTTGGTCTCCATTGAGCCCCAGAACCTCCTCTGAGAGGCGGGTCTGCACCCATGGGAGCTGATGGTCAGGATAGCGCTCCTTCTGCAGAGCCATGACCTCCTCCAGAGACGAACCAAACATGGAGGGGCTAAAGATGGCCTTCTGAGCGTGTCTGATCTCATCCAGACAGGGCTTCTGCAGACCCTGCACACACACAGCACTGTCACCAAGAGACCCACCCAGTAGGGGAATTATTGTGCTATGTGTGAAGGCGTGGGTGTTTAATTCAAATCTGATTTAATTAGGATAACTAGGGTAAGGTTGTATTTTAGTTTATTTATAAATTGTGTACGTTCTATGAATGCAGAGGGGAGACAGCACTGCCCAGCACTGCCCAGCACTGCCCAGCACTGCCCAGCACTGCCCAGCACTGCCCAGCACTGCCCAGCTGCTTCAGTGTGTTGGGTTTGGTCTAGACCAGGGGTGTCCAAACTTTTTTCATCAAGGGCCACATATGTAAACACAGACGAAGCAGAGGGCCGATCGAGGGCCATAGACTGGAGCTCAATACAGTGAATAATTGAAATATGTGCATGTTTAACACGTTAGAATGAACCATCAGTCTTTATTCATGCTAAGATCCTTAAAACCACATACTAAATATTAAATATTAGCTTTATCCAGGTAGATTCTCAAAAAATTTGCAGTAAAAAAATATTTTTTAATTGATGCAAGGTAATTGGGCCAATTGACCTGGAAATCTGAGGGCCAATAAAAATTTGTCTGAGGGCCGCATTTGGCCCCCGGGCCATAGTTTGGACATGCCTGGTCTAGACAGTCTGCCCTCCATTTTCTGAGTGAGTTTCAAGTTCTCTGTTATACAATAGTATTTTAGTTTATATGTGCACTTTAGATATAGTTGTGTTAATTCTTAATTGTTTGTTGGAAAGTAAACCCTACTGTTGTCTTTAATTAATAGTTTTGTTTTTCTTTTTTAAAAAAAGGGAAGAGAGGCTGTAAAAGGCCAACAATTAACGCTGTGGGGGCCGTTGGCAAGATTAAACACCCACATTATTTTTCTGGAGGTGCAGCTGTCTGGTCCATTATTGTATGCCTGACCACACAACAACACAGAGCACACTCTGCTGCCCTCTGCTGACCATACAACCCATTTGTCAATATAATATGAGCTTTACTGTTCTAATGCTGCTGTTGTGTTGTGTTGTGTTGTGTAGATTAATCCTAACAGGCCTTTTATACACAGCAGACAGACATAAGCAGAGCTATAAGTCCCATACCTTCTTGGCTCCAGTCAGAGCAGCCTTGGTCAGCTTTCTGTAGCAATATTTGGCATAGCTGCTGATGGCCACTCCTAGAACATGAGCAGAACATGAGCAGAACATGAGCAGAACATGAGCAGAACATGAGCAGAACATGAGCAGAACATGAGCAGAACATGAGCAGAACATGAGCAGATGGAATACTGTGCATTATTCCACACATCACACATACAGCGCTCTTGTGCTCACTGACTGCTGCAGCCCACACGAGTTTGATGAACACATTAGTTCCACATGAGCAGCGGCTCAAAGTCAAGGGCAGGGCATCATCACCCTGTGCTCCTGTCACCCTCTTGTGGTAGATCCAAGGTTCAACTAAGCCAAGCTATATTACTATGCATTTTTAATATTGGGCAATGCACATGAAAGTAAAATAAAATAAATCAAATCAAATACACAAAGACTGTTTGTGTGTTTGTTGTGAAATGTGTTTATTCATGAAAAGGGTCTAAATTCTACATTAGAGGTTATTTTTACCCAAATGTGTGATATGCTGGCTCTTGAGCTAAAGAGGAAAAAATAACAGTAAAACGGCTAATAAAAAAAAATGCCTGCCCCCTGTTGGCCCGTGCCCTGTTGGCCCACCCCTGATGCCCTCTCCCTGGTAGCCCTCTCCCTGGTAGCCCGCATGCCTCACCCTTGTTGTCATTGAGCGGGTCCATGTGCCTCTGGATGTAGCCCTCCAGGTAGTTGTGGAAGCGGGGTGTGGGGGGGAAGAAGGCCAGGCAGATGGCCATGAGCTCCCAACCACGCTCCAGGCTGTCGTAGCGGAAGTTCTCTGTAGTCTGACGACACAGCTGGATGTACAGCTCGTCGCGCAGGCCCTGGTTACTCCAGCCGCGCACCACCACCTGAGGAACACGAGTGGAACTGAATCTTTGGCTATCCACAAGTTCCACGTCTTCCCTACTGACTGCCAGAGGGCGGAGCTTAAAGCACATGCAGTGAGTCACGACAATCATGCAGGATTCATAGAACCAGTCTGGTTACAGATGGATGGTTTTACTACTAGTGTGTATTATGGCATTTTCCTGAAACTTGGTGTGAATACTACAACAAAAATAAAACAATCACAAGATGGAGGCTTGTGAGCTGAGCATTGCATAGGATCGTACTGCTCCTGTAAAGACGGTTCGAATAGGACGGCTGATTGCAAGATCACTGCAACATGCATGGATGACATCTATGGTAAAACCTCTTCATGCTTCAAGTTTTTGATGAACAATGTTACAACATGAATGAAAGCTCCAAAGTTAATTTTGCATTATACCTCCTCTTTAAGATTACCATGTAATCTTATAATTGTTTTAAGACTATTCTATAATTATACTAGTCTATTGTGCCATAAAGGTTCAGTTTTGGCCTATGTAATTTGTTTTACTTATCAATGCTTATCAGTCAATAATCAGTTTTATTTCATTGATTAGAATCTGGGAATCTTTTTTGATAAACTAAATTATTACATTTTTATTAAGCAAACAAAAAAAACACATTTGTGAGAAGACTGTGAGAAGACTGTGAGAAGTCCAGACCTCCAGAGCCACACTGAGGGGGTCAGCCTTGCAGCGTCGGTCTCCCATGAAGGTCTGGATGAGTTTGAAGATCTCCACAGCTTCCTTCTTCACAGTGCGGTCTGATGTCACAATCATGGGCTTCTTGATGGGCTCACTGCTCCAGGCCAGCATGTTGGCTATGGACACTTTCCTCCGGAACAGACCCTGACCACAGCAGAAAGAGTGAGGGAACTCCCAGCACAGCATCCAATACTCAACGATAAGTTTGAAAAATAACTCAAAAGTTCAAATGAATATACAGAAGGTTTATAAGTAAATATGTAGAATTAGTTCCCCATAAAAACATGTTTGTGCCAAAAATAAAAGATCACAGCAGTTTGGTCTCCCGAACTGATATTGGAGTGGTCGCCTGAGATCTACCTGTGTATGTTTGTTGAAGTGTTTGGAGGCCCAGTTCTCGATGTCTGTCTCTGAGGAGGGCTTTCTGAGGGAGAATTCTGGGAAGACCCCACAGCTGGCACTGGGCATCATATTCCTGGCATTCCGACTGGCCTCAAACTGGGCACAGGCTCCCAGGTCTTCTGACTGTGACAGCAAACAGGAAGACATGCCCAGTTAGGCATTAGCTAAGTTTACATAGATATGACAGCATATCCAGCTCTGTATAAAGCAGTCACATGACCGTAGCTGCTGAAGGTAGAGGACTGGCTCACCTGGGACGGGTGGAGGTAGGGCTCTGGAGAGGCCAGGTTGGTCTGGACAGACAGGCTCTTCTCCAGCAGGGCTTGGGGAAAGCCCAGACGGTCGAAGGTACTCCTCTTCCAGTGATGCTCAGTCTGAGCCAGGCCCTCGTCCTCACTGAAAGCCCTGACCACAGGCCCGGGCAAAGGCAGAGGCACGGCCCCGTCACTCTCATAGCCATCCTTAGAGCCCCCCACCTGCCCTGAGTCCCAGCTGCTCCTCTGCTTCATCACCTGCTGAGCCTCCCAGGCAAGCCGAGCCTGTGCCAGCATGGCCTCTGATGGAGAAACCCCCTCTCCTTCTGTCCCGCAGCGGGCCAGCTCCTGGGGCAGGGAGGGTTTGCGGCTCTTGCGTTTGCGGTTCCCACCTGGAGAGAAGGGTCTGGGGCCGATGGTAGAGGAGGATATGGTGTGTGTTTGGCTGGACGACCATGAGATGGAGTCCTCATACAGGAGCTTCTGAGCATCCCCACCCTCCCCGCTGTAGTCCAGGAGCAGTCGTGGGTCCCTGATCAGAGACTGGCTGTGCTGCAGGGTGAAGGAGCCCCCATAGGAGCCCCCATAAGAGCCACCATAGCCTCCAGAAGTGCCATAGCGAAGCAGGCGATCTGCAGTGCGAAAGCGCGGGCTGGATGTGGACTGCTCTACATACACCAGCTGCTTGACGTACTCCTTACCCACAGGGCTGTACTCCAGACTCTGGGCCTTCTCGGGACACTTCTGCCGGGTCAGGACCAGCTGGCCATAGGGGGACTGCTTTGGGGAGTGATACAAGGGCACAGGGCTTTTGCGAGCCGGAGACTTGGAGCCGTACATGGAGGAGGAGTCAGACAGCTGCATGTCCGCGGGGGGCTCCTCGTAGATGGGAGGGGGCTGGTACTCGGAGGGTGGCTCTTCGTATAGGGGAGGCTCATAGGCATAGCGAGGAGAAGGAGGCTGGGAGTCAGCAGAGGAGCGGCGGTTGGTGCCAGTCCCACCCAGCTCGGCTCGTTTCAGGAATGGAGACTGGCGTCTGTCTGAGTAGATGACCACGGAGCCATCAGGTTCAGAAGAGTTTCCCCCTGAAGAGCGGCGTGTCCGGCCGGTCGGGGGGGGCTCACTGGAGGAGTAGCCATTGTCCTGGTGGGCCAAGAAGCTGGGCTCACGGTCCGTCACTTTGATCAGCATGCGCTCTTTTGTACCTGTATTCCACCTAAAAGGAGAAACTCTGACAGGACAAGAGAGTTCAGTGTTAGATTTTAAATACTAGGCACTGTCATTCAGATACACTGGAGGAGAGAGAGAGTCCATGGTCAGGACTGTGTTCACACAGACTGAGAGAAATGCAACAGAGAGGACGTTGGAGGAGCATAATGTCTTTACTCAGATGACCAGAGGAGAAGAGGAAAGACCTTGTCAGAGGGACAGCTCATGGATTTGCAGCCTGCATTTGTGTTCTTGAAAAACTACGTATTTTCCTATTCCTCATATTTGATATGATATAAAATACATTTCCGTGTTGTCTCACCTGTCAGGCCCATCTCTGGAGCTCGGCTTGTCGGAGCTCTCCTGGTCCACAGAAGAGGAGGTGCTGCCCTCCTGGCTCACAGCGCTGTTCCTCCCTGGGCTGTTGTGAGCAGAGGGCTGCTCTCCAGGCTGTTCTCCGGGCTGTTCCCCAGGCTGAGGGGGGCTGGAGGCGTCCGTGTGTTGTTTAAGGGTCTGCAGCTTGGCCAGGGGGATGATATCACAGGCCTGTGGCCGGTGCCACACAGTGCGCTGGCTAGAGGCGTTGTAGTAGTAGAAGCGGGACGTGTTGGGGTCAAACAGCTCCCACCACTGGTTGTCCCCAGTGCGCTTGATGCGAACCCCCTGGGGAGGGTCCCACACGCACTCGCCCGTCAAAAGGTTAGCATACATGCGCTCCCGAGTGCGGGGCTCGATGATCTCCACCCACTCCAGCCTGAAATCACAATCAACTTTCACACTTAGGCATTATGCTGTTGTCTGTGTGTGTGTGTGTGTGTGTGTGTGTGTGTGTGTGTGTGTGTGTGTGTGTGTGTGTGTGTGTGTGTGTGTGTGTGTGTGTGTGTGTGTGTGTGTGTGTGTGTGTGTGTGTGTGTGTGTGTGTGTGTGTGTGTGTGTGTGTGTGTGTGTGTGTGTGTGTGTGTGTGTGTGTGTGTGTGTGTGTGTGTGTGTGTGTGTGTGTGCGTGCGTGCGTGCGAGTGTGCGAGTGTGTGTGCGCGCTGTGTGCATTTTCACTGCCGGTTGGTTCTGTGGGCACTGGGCAGATCAAGCCTTTGTGGTGTCCAAAATAAATAATTCAAGGAGTGTTTGATGTTAATGTAGATTCTGTTAGTTTGATTAAGGAATTTTCAATATGTTTGATGATTTCAAAAACCTTAATTTGAATCAAGACTGTAAAATCCCTCATTTGTACAGGAGTGGTCCAGTGTAGAGAAGGTTTCAGAGGTAAAACTGGAGAGAAATTCCAGAAACTGAGCAGAGCAAAAACACCACCTGTGCTTTAATCTGAGAAACCTCGCACACACACACAATCACACTCGCACGCACGCGCACACAAACACACACACGCACGCGCACACACACACACTCACACGCACACAAACACTTGCACGCACACACACACACGCACACACACACACGTACGCACGCACACAAACACACGCACACAAACACACGCACACAAACACACACACACAGCACACCACACACACATAGCACACACAAATACACAGAGCAGTAACAAGTGGACAACACTGTGGTCACTGACTAATCAATATTTTTTTAATTCAACAAGTCAAATAATAATTATAAATTTTTATTTTTAAATACATTTGTGTAAAGCATGACCTCTAATGAGTTTAAATAATCACTAGTGAGCAGCTCTCCCCTCTGACCCCTGCTTTACTCTGCTTTGCAGAGTTTGTTCAGTTGGCGCAAACTGGCCTGAAGTTGTGTCTCAGCAGCCCGTTACATTGTGATAATGGGTTTCCTCCTCACTTTTGAAGTGATGACTGAGTGCAGTGGTGATGCCCACAGTTGGCTCTTTTGTGTAAGCGAGGGGCCGTGTGTGGTAAGGGGCTGCGTGCCAGGCCGCTCCACTTAATAAGGACAGCGGCCATATTGAGCTGTCAGCTCCAGTGTGAGGGGAGAATGGTGAGCTCTGTCAGGGAGGATTGTGCCGGAGCGGGCAGAGTTCAGAATGGCCGGGAGCATTAACTGCTCCTAAAGCTCTGTGTGTGGGGCTCGTCCAAATGACCCACTTGAGCTGGCTCTAAAACACTGAGGATGCAGAGGTCAGCAGGGACAAGGCCCTGGCCTTCACAGAGACGTGAGATACCTTCACATGGGACAGGATTCCGGACAAACTGGAAGATTGCAGTTCTTTGATCAATAACTTAAAATAAAATAGAGAAAATCAGTTGCAGTGTACAGTTATGTCACCAGTGAGATGATCACTGATGAGGTCTGATCAGCATGACAAAAGCTACAAACTTCAAAACAAACTTAGTCTCATTCTCAATAATAATCAATAATGACTGTCCAGTCTCGGCTGCTCTGGTGCACTAAAATGCTCGGTCAGCCAAGACTACACACTTTCCCTGCACAATAGATATACATAGTCTGGGCCCTGGTCTCATCTCTCAGAGTTCAGATCGCATGATTCAACAGGTGGATTAACCAACTGAAAAAGGATGGTACGTCCTTATACCAGCAGGCAGGTTTATGAGTGTGTTTGGCCTGAGACGCAGATGAGATGTGTTTTTTACGCTGCCTTTCGATCAGTCGACATAAAAGAGCTTTCACTCTCAGAGTACTGCTTGGGCCGCTGTGAACATAACACACACATTCTGATTAGCATTAAATGGTCCCTCCAAGAGCGCTTCAAACAGGAAGTCTCAGATCAGCCAACCTCGGCCTACCTACACAGTCCACAGTGACAGTAACAGGAACAGGAATTGAACAAAAAACACTTGGATCATGCTCACGCTTCTCACATGGCTCATGGTGTGTGTTTAGGGTGAATGAACAAGACCAGCCCAAAAGTAAGGTAAATAGAACCAAATCTATGGCACAGTAGGGAGAGTGCACCAACACGACCTCTAACTTTGTTTACCTGCAACACTATAGGGATAAGAAGAAGACCAAGCCCAAAGAAAAGGTTCATGGGTCACCATTTCTTCTCCTTACTTTCAGGTGAGTGTTATCACTCACAGCAATACTCTGCTTGGTCTCTGAAAGTTGAGAAAAGCTCTAATAAACTCATCGTGGTGAATAATTAGGACATTCTAAATGCATAAGGTAAGTGAGGAAGAACTATTTTGAATCACTGCAAACTGTTGAACTAATTCCGTTTTTCAAAATGTTAAGAAAGTAAAAATCAGGTACAGTGTCTTTAAACATGGATTTAGAGGTAAAATAATAATTTGAAAGGTAGGAATGCATTTGTGGATCACTAAACACACACACACACACAGTGAGGATCGTGCAGATGGAATAGCATGTAGTGTCAAAAGCCTTGTTCAAAGTGTAGTCATTACAATATAGCAAACTAATTATTCATCTGGAGAGGGTCACAGAACCCTCTTTGCCAGCAGGGGTATGGCGCACACAGCTGCCCTCTTCACCCAGGGCCAGAGTCTCCAGCAGAAACACAACAGAGTCATGAGCCCAGCCCTTTGACGGGCCCGTAGCTCTCTGGACCGGACACAGTGTCCAGAACGCAGCAGACGTGGAGCAGAGATGTAGAGAGCAGAAGGTCTACAGGCTGGAGTGACCAGAGCCATGTGACCACACACTGGGACATGTCATATCCCAGCCCACCCGAGAGCACGGGGCTGGAGGACAGAGGAGCTCCCGGTGCTCAGCTTCCCTCCCAGCAGAACGAGGGACCGGGACAAACCGTGGGACGTGGACGGGCCGCATTCCAGCAAACAGACACTAGAGTCCGACAGGTGCATGAGCATCACTAGCACCACCCTCCATCACTCTCCTCCAGCTGCGGCCATTCTCCGCCATCACCGCCCCGATAACCGCATATCAGCCCCGGCTCACGGCGCACACGACCGCTGTCCGTGAGAGGACATGCCCAAACGGGAGGGAATCCTCTCCACTGAGAAAGAGCCGGATGCCGTGGAACAACCCGAGCGGGTTAGCTAAAAGCATCCGAGTCCGAGCGCCGTTAGCCCGCTCCGCTAACAGGACTCCCGGTGCTCCGCCTAAAGCAGCCCGAATCACAGCGGTCCCGGCTCGGTCCCAGAGCCACACTCACCTCTCCGCCATTGTCCCGGAGCCTCTCAGCAGTAGCGCAGCAGAAAGCCCAGCAGAAAGCCCGCAATGTCCCCCATGGTTCAGAGAGCGGACGGTCGCCGCAGTCACCGAGTCACTCCTTTCAGAGCAGTACTAAGCGGCCGGGCCGCGGAGCACTGTGTCCGGCCGGGCCTTCACAATAAAAGCCCCACGTACCCACAGCGCGTGTGCCATGGCCCAAGGCATGTCAAGTACTGCAAGAAATTAGCTTTAAAATGTGTCTTTAAGGGCACTTATGTTTGTATTTTTAAAGACAGAACACTAGACACAGATAAAGCTGTGAAAACTAAGAGCAGCGAACGGACCGGAAACGGGCTGCTCGCTTTAGAGCCAACTTTCCTAAGCCACATTGTGCAGCCGCTTAACCCAGTGTTTTCCAACCTGGGCACGGGACCCGGGGCCGCCGCCGTTAGAGAGGCTGTGTGTTCTAATAAGATGTGAAGTTACATCGCAATATATCATTAAATATTATAACCCTATAAGACAAAAAAATAAATAAAAATTAGGTGATAGTTTGATCTATTTCTTTTCCCTTGTTTTGTTTTCCATTTAATGAACTGTTATACTTAAAACCAAAAAAAGCATGATTCACATCCTATACTGGGCGTAGCCTCTTCAAATTCACGTTATCTTCATTATAGCATTTATACATATTAATGGTTATTATTAATCTAACAAATAAGTAACTTTAGTACATGTGGCACATCAATATGGCTTCAATTCTCAGTCTAGTCTAAATCTCTCATTCTGTGTGAGATACCCTCCTTATATTCACCCATAAATCTGTTAGAATTCAGCCTGCGCAGTTTGCACACTTGGGATTAGAGTCTGACAACAGAGGTCAAAGCTCCAGAGGTCTGCTTCCCCAGCTTATTTGCTCCAAAGAAAAAAAAAAACTTCACTTAAGTGTATTGTAGTTTTAGTCAGAAAATCATTTGTAATAGCTTCATTATCAACACCAAAAGCTTTCACTTGTGTCAATCAGTGGTGGAAAGAGTACTGCAAATTGGTACTCAGGTAAAACTATAGTTGGCAAAAAATGTGCTCAATTATAAATACTGCTTTCAAAATTTAGTATTTTATATTAATTTAACTGTTTAAAGCAGTTTTAATCGTTTTAATGCATATTCTCTGGGCTCTCACCAGTCAGAGCAGGAGATGCTGTTATGTCTGTCGGTTAGGGAGGAGGAGAAATGGCCGTGGATCGGGACTATTGTGACTTGTACAGTACTCTTATAATTTTGAATGTTACTACAATTGCATGGCAAAAATCATACTCATAGCCTGTACTTACAAGTAAGTACAGATGGTGTCAGTCAATATTATTCAAAAATACTTGCGCACACAGGCGGATAAATGATTCCTTTTAAAGAGTTTATTACTAAAAAACTGTACAAATTCTCTCCTGATTCCTGTACATAGTGACATAATTCCAGTCTAAATGAGTCGATAAATATTGATGTGCTGTCCCAGGGTCTGTGCAGGGCTGCAGGTCACATGTTGCTGATGTGGTCCACCATGGTGTCTGTGGACTTCCAGCCCTCCAGCAGCAGGTGGCAGCAGAGGGACAGGCTGCTGATCGCTACACTCCAGGTGTGGGGGTCCCGGTCTCCGGGGTTCCTCCGGAGG